TGAGAGGCAAAGGAGATGACATAGCAGAGCTGGAGCTCACGAGATGAAGAAGCAATTTCGAACAAGAGAGAAAGATAGGAGAAAACTGACAGAGGTGACTTCTCAAAAGTCGGCCGCTTGGAGGCCAGGAGGAGTGGAGAGCATCATCGCACTCGCTAGAAGTATCTGGACCGTTGTAGCCCAAAGGAGATATGCGTAGGACATTCGCACTTCTTCTCGCTCGTACATTTTGACCGACTTGGCTTTTCTCGGGCTGGAAAATAACACTTTCTGCAGCCAAGATCCAGCCAGTTGTGTTTATGCCAGGTTAGCACGTTCTTGGCTCGTTGTCAAAGCATGCTCAGGTTGGCTCGATACTGGATCCGTACACTAGGTATGGTGGTAGTGTAAAGACTGACTAGGAGCTCGTGGATCAGAGAGGATTCGGATAGTCTGGTGTCAGGCTACCAAAGCAAGGTGGTTATTGGTTTCCGATGACCGAAGAAGGGCAATTTCTCCGGTATCAATGCTGAGGAGACTGAAAACAAACCAAAAAGAGATGGAGGGAGGGAGGGATGGAGGGAGGGAGGGAGGGAGATATAGAGAGGGAAGGTGAGAATGTGGAATGGTTGAAGGGGGGAAGGTGACTTGGTCGTGGTTTTATGATCGTCGATGTGAAGGTTCGGTAAATGCTCCCCGGAGCTGCACTGCTGCAGCCACAGGGCGCCCAGACGTCATCAGAATTAACGTTGGCCACTCAGATGGCGCCAATTTAACTGGGAAGAGTTCCAGACATTCGCAGACCTCAGCCTCTTTTTCCCTTGGACGATTATTAAATTTTGTAAGGCAGGTATCTACAGACTACCTACAGTGTACTGGATCTATCTTTTACGTATCGCTTTCTCGCCTTTCTTTCTCAAATTAAGTACCGACTCTTTCTTCCCCATCGCGGCCATATCATTATATCTCTTTCGATGCAGGAAACGGAGGAAGAAAGATCAGGTACAAGTACCGAGTCCAACTTTGCTACCTTCGTCATCATTTTGTTGCAAGGGAAACGGTCGCTGCGGCTAGCAGTCTAGAGTACCTATTCCATCGTAGAGTAGAAAAGTAGTACGGAAGTACATAGTAGTAGTACTGGTACCTCCTTCTCCTCCTCCTCCAGTCCAGCTGAGAAATTCCTTGAGGCGGCTCGTGCGTTCCTTCCGTGCATCAGCGTCCGCTCGACCAGTAAAACGGTTGTAATCCATACTTCTATTCAACCACCAAAATTTCAACTTCCACATCCAGATTTCTTCCTTCGCACCCTACCTACCTCCACTCATCCTACTTGCTGCGAGGACACTCCTGCAACAACTCCAATCCTTCATCTCTCGGATTCCCTCGCCTTTCCTTTGCACTTGTTCGTATTCCCCACATATTCTCTCAACGCCACCCAAGATATATTGACCACCACGTCCTCAGAAATACCACTGAAGCTACCATCTCCTTCCAGCTCAACCGATCCCTCCCCTTTACCGGATTGTCTTGACTGTGTCAGTCCAATGGGATCTGAGCGTGGACTGTATTCCACTGCAGCACTCTTAGTCACTATCGGAAGCAGACAGGAATAAAAAGGGAATACACCACGGAGTCCTTACGCCTGTTGACGAAAACGCTGGTATAATCCTAAGCGCCGGCTGCTCCATCCGTTCTTACCTCTTCTTCCCGATTTGCTATCCGTTCACGACATCCGAGACATTGATACCACCAAATTTTTCTGGGAATCTAACCCAAGAGTTGGGACCATCGTCAATCCGGGGCATACGAGGCTTTGTATCCAGGAGAAAGATTCCGAAGAGCCGGGCAAGGAGATAGCATCAGAGCCCGGCCTTGTCCGTCTTTGCATCTCGGGTTTCGTCCGCGTTTTAATTGCAGCAGCTGTGCGAAGCCGTTGCGGTCAAGCTGCAGCTGTGCGGTGTGCTAGCCTATTGTTGCATTCCGCAAACTTACCCGCTGTGAGACATTCTGGGGGCTGGGTGGTTTCCAGATTACGCGTACCTGCAAAAGGAGCGCTTTCCCGGACTGAATATACCTTTCGTCGCCAGAACTACCACCTCAAGACAGATATCTGACATTGGAAGACAAGCTTTCTAAACCAGATCAACCCCCGTCCTAGAGCTTTCATCTATCGCCACAAGTCCGTCATGGAGACCACATTCATCTCAATACATGGTAAGTACAGCGTTCGATACGAGGTCCGCATTCTGGCTAATCCTACCTGATTAGATCTGTCCCTCGACGCTCGATTGCTCTACGTCTCATCCTCAATCGAAGATATTCTAGGATACACACCGCAAGAAGTAATTGGGAAGTCGTGTTGGGACTATTTTCATCCAGATGAGATCCCATTCGCCCGAGCTGTACATGGCCGAGGTATTAAGATGGACAAGGCTGCCGCGCTCAACTATTGCCAGATCAAGAACAGGGATGGCCGATGGGTAGGTTGCGAATGTGTCTTCACAATTGTACATGATGTTCTCGTGGGGTGTACCAGTGTCTACCGAAGAGGCACGAAAAGTGATAGTAAGTGTGGTCAGAATTGAACACTACTATTGTTGGAACTACACGGTTGCTGACTACTGCATAGAGCGAGCTAGAGAAGCTCCAGTCATACGTCGGCTGTTTTCATCTTCACCACGAGATCCTCGATACCATATGCTTTCATATATTTCTCACAAGTTTTCCAAGGAAACGCGAACTCTTACTCATGAACCTAGGGCGGCTTTGTTTCTCAACAGATTTTCTCGCACTCTAACCATAATGTATGCCACCAATGGTTTGGCCGACATTGTCGGCATCCCTGCCCAAGAACTCAACGGCAGAAGCTTCTACTACTGCATCCAAGAGAACTGCCTGCGAGAGGCAGTCAAATGCCTGGAAAGTGCGAAAGCCAATGACTCTATCGCCTACCTCCGCTTCTGGTTTCGCGATCCACGTCAGGACGATCAGGTGGATCATGATGAACATATGAGCGACGGTCACAGTAGCGGTGATGATGATGACGGCGGTGTAAACCTCTCCGAACTCATGGATCATGACGGGAGTGAGAACGCTGTTGCTAGCGACTCATCCCACTCGATGAGATCATCTGTTGAGCGGGATCAGGATCGTTCACGGGACGGGTATTCAATGGATATCAATTCCCGGTCGTCATCTGGCAACAGCACCGACTTGGACGGAAACTCTAATGATGCCATTTTCGATCAACCGGCCGGCGGCCAAACACGGACCTCGTCTGTCTCCACCACGGATGAACGGATGTCGCCCGGGGCGTCACCCTTCATGCCAGACGCCTCTCACATCGAACTTGAAGCAGTGGTCTCTTGCACGTCTGACGGCCTCGTGGTCGTTCTTCGCCGGGCTAGACCTTCCATTCCCCATCTTTCCCAGTCGACGTCAGACGCCGCAAATCATTCATACGCGAACGGCTTCTTCGCGTCTCCGTGGGCCACTGACCCCATTTTACCAAACATGGGGGACAGGCCGTCCCAAAATCTACCCAATTTTTTGCAGCCCTCGCCAGTTGCCCCAAAGCGCCCAACGGCCGCACGTGGTGGGACTGCCGCGACGCATGGACCAGCCACAGAGGACTTCATGAACTCGATCCGTGAGGTTGCTGTTTTTGCTTGGGCTCTCACTGGTATCAACGGGTCGCTGGCACAATATACAAAGGGAACGCCAACTGGCGAGTCCCAGCCACCTGACGGATTACCCGTGTGGGAACCTCCTTCTAACGCAGGGGCTGAGGCCGAGCGACGGGATGGATATTTTGATAATGGCCAAAATTATAAGAACGTCCATGGTGACTGGCAAGGTCAGAAGGCTGAGAACACCCAAGGCTACCAGCATCAAAGCCAGAGTAGTGGCGGATTCAGCCACAGCAGCAGTGGTTTTTCACAAGGCTCTGGCAATCCGACACAAGCGACCGACTATAACCAAGCTTTGCACGCCAACGGCTACGACGATGTCATGCAGAACAAGGCCAATAATACTTTTGTGCCCAGCAATTGCCACATTGAGCCTATGCACACTAATGACTACAACGATTCTATGCAGATCAAAGGCTACGACAACCTTGTGCATATCAATGGGTCACAACAAACCTACGCAAGACCACGGTTACAATGATCCGATGCAGATGAACGAGCACCATGATGCCATGCGAACCATGACCCGAACAATGCTGCACACACCATTGACGCATCAATCCGAGCTTGGGAGGGTTGGGGAGCAGTAGGAAATTTGATTTGGAAAGTGGACTAACATGCGAAGGAGGAGTTCGGTTATAGGATAGCACCGTGTGTACAAACATCCGGGAGAGTCGGAGCGGCGCCATCATAGCGCGGCGGCTGATACGAGTCTCGCAGAGTGGCCATGGTATTGGATTTATCATGAAGTTCGAGCTGGAAATCTTGAAAGGCCTGTTTGGGAAACACAGGGATTGAGTGGATGGTGCTTGATGAAGTGACAGATGAGGCGACATGGCGCTAGATAATGAGGTTGTAGAAGTAGAGTACATTGTCTCCAAACGCAGCGGTGCTTCGCTCTAGGCTCACTCAGGTTTGCACGAAGGAACCCGAGATACACTTATTTACACTGAGAATTTATGAGCCTGAGTAAGTGAACGACTTATGTCTATCTTGCTGCCGTTTTGCAGTATTGCATTGGTACCATTTCGAATTTGAGTATTCTTGCTCAGCTCATCGGCTAGGAGGGTAAATATGAAAGCAAAGTAAGGTAGGGCAGGGGGTTTGAAAGGCGGCTGCACCAGGCGGGACGAAGCGCTGGGAGCCAGTGCCAAGTGCCAAGTGCCGCAAATTTGATGACGATGATCTCCACACTAAGCACTGTAGTGGAAAATATCAATCGCGCGCCAGCAAATACTTGGACTTCTACTTTACTCATCACTCACTGATCAATCGCACTCCCTTACCTACGCTACCTTACTACACCAAATCCGCATTGTTTCAATATCTTGAATGGCGCAAAGAAAGGGTGGAGAAGCAGACTCGTACTACAACCAAGTGCCTGGCGGCCAAAGCAACGGTGGTGACGGGCAATATGCAACCCCTCCTCCCATGCAATATCCTCCTCAAGCAGCAAACAATGCATACCAAAGCAACTCCAACCCCAAATATCAGCAGCCTCCACCCAATTATGGTCAGAACTTCCAAAACTCCGGTTCCCCATCAATGGCAGCAGGCGATGGGAAGCAAACGTTTGATCAGGTTTTCAAGCTGGGTACGTGATTTCGGACTGATTCCTCTCTATTCGGCGCTTTGGTCTGGATCATGAGTCTTGTTTTGGCGGGGAAGAAAGGCTTTTCCCCCAGCTATGCTTCTGAGACTGGTCTTACGATTCCAGTGCGTGCCAGGAGATGGGCTTCGTTTCCTTGTTCCTTTTCCAGATCTGTCTAAAAAATGGCTATCATACCCTTCTCATACGTCCTAAACTTATATTATGAGTGGAAATATTTTCTTGAGATGGGCATGCTGACTCCGAAATTATCATCAGACAAACCCAAGTACAATGACGTTTGGGCCGGAATACTCGTGCGTCCAGTCTTGTTATGGTTGTAGACCACTTCGCACTCACTGATTCATTCAGCTCATTTTGACTTTCCTCGGCTTCGCTGCCGTCTCTGGCATCTCTCTGCAGGGATATTCCGCAAACAAGGGCCTTAGTGGAGGTGGCATCTACGACGCTGGCAACAACTTCTCCCTAAACACCAATACCATCGTCCTATTCGTTTTTGTCCTCGCCGTCGCTTTGGTTCTGTCCTGGACATACTTCACCCTTGCCCGTGCATTCACGAAGCAGTTCATCTGGATTACTGGTATCTTAAACATCCTCTTCGGCATTGGCACTGCCATCTACTACTTTGTGCGACACTACTACTCCGCTGCAGTAGTTTTTGCTGTCTTTGGTATCTTCAGCATTGTATGTACATCTCAGAGCTTATTCTTCCTATTGCGGACGACTCTCTGAGCTGCGAGATTATCTTGGGGGTACAGAGCTCTTAATACCTCTCTGAGTTGTCTTGTTGCTCGGACTTCTGCCGCGAAGAAGGAATGCTCACTCCGATATCTTCATAGGTATGCTTCGTCACGTGGATCCCGAGAATTCCTTTTAGTGTGGTCATGCTTCAGCAGACAATGGATGTCGCCAGTACGTATTTTCGGAGCCCATATTTCCCCTTTTGGAGCAAGTCTTGAACCTTGAGACACGTCTCGGGAGCCTTTACTCTCAATACATGATCCAAGGCTCAATGTACCTCCTCGAGTAGGCAATACTGACTGCGGAATTCTAATATAGAGTCTTTCGGGCATGTCTTCCTCGTCAGCGCTATTGGCGGTATAGCTTCGGTTGCTTTTGGTGCCTGGTTTTCTCTCACTTTAGTCTCTGGTAGGTGATCATGCGGTATTACATTCCCAGCCCATGCCGCCATTTCATTTTCAAGGCGTAAGCTGAGAATTAAAAGCCCATCCTGTTGCCGGATCTTATCTTCTACTCCAATCACTGTCTCAAAAGAGCAAAGGCTGACCCTGAAAAGTGTACGTGAAATATGAACCTTCCGGTGGAGGGTCAAACCCTGCTTGTGCCAGTGGAAGCAGTGCAGGTGGTTGCTCATCAGCCAAAGTGATTGGCTTGATCGTTTTTATAACCTTCGCCGGTACGCACCTTATAAGCTATCCATTTGCCTCAAAGAAGGCTTACTGACTCCCAGATGCGCAGGATACTGGATCACTGAGTGGTAAGACTTACCCAGCCCCAAAAATTCCCGTCAATGGAATGTTTTCATGAGCGCCGAGAGATGTCCTGGGCGTCTCAAACAATCCAGACACATATCTCATGATTCCATCTCCCGGCTTAAAGAGAAGTTACTGACTCTTTAATTCTATTAGGCTTAAGAATACGATCCACTCCATCGTCGCCGGTATCTATGGCAGCTGGTTCTTCTGTGCTGGGAAGCCAGGAGGGATGCCAAGTGGTGCGACAAGGGGTGCAGCCAAGAGGGCTTTTACATACTCTTTTGGCAGTATCAGCTTTGGATCACTGGTCGTGGCTCTCATTAATATGGTGCGCCAGGCAGTCAGCATAGCCCAGCAGCAGGAGGCTCAGGGAGGGAATATGGCCGCCTCGATCGCGTTTTGTTGCCTCGGATGTATTATTGGATTGATTGATTGGGCTGTTCAGTAAGAAACTCTTGTACCATTTGCGAAGACCCCTACTGACCATTCAGATTCATCAATCGCTATGCATTCATACATATCGCCCTTTACGGCAAAGCCTACATCCCCGCCGCTAAAGACACCTGGACCATGATGAAGAACCGTGGAATCGATGCTTTGATCAATGATTGCTTAATTGGACCGGTCCTGACAATGGGATCTACGTTCGTGGCTTACACTTGTGCCCTTCTCGCGTATCTATACCTGGAGTTCACTAAGCCGGGTTATAACGACGGCGGAACCTTCACACCAGTGGTAATGGCTTTCTCATTCTTGATAGGACTACAGGTCTGTCAGATTTTTATGACGCCCATTGGAAGTGGCGTGGATACAATCTTCGTGGCTGCGGCATGGGATCCAGACGTTTTGATGAGGGATCACCCCGACTTGTACCAGAGGATGGTCAGGGTCTACCCGAAGGTGCAGCAGATGATCCATGCCTGAGAGGCGGAGCAGCGAGGTTTTGGATAGTGGCTCTTTTCCCGCGATGACCTTTTCTTAAAACACTCTTAATTCTCGTCACGGACCGGCGCTTCATTGAATAGACAGATACCCGAGCATGCGTACACAGCGAGGTATGGGAGGAGGACACTGCCGACGCAGAGACAAAGCAACGTTCATAGAAAACCCTTTTATAATCGATTGGAAAGACTCGCGACTTATGCTCTTACCCAATGCTTAAATTTTCAGAGCATTAATATGTACCATCACTCATACCACTGAAGACAAGCCGTTTCTTACCTTAGAATCCCTCTCGATCTGGCTAGCGTACATTCGCCACACCAAGAGATATCAAAATTCCGCCCATGAATGTATGTTGTTCCTCACTCAACAAGTACACGTACAGTCCACCATAAAAATGTCTAAAATCGCTAAGTATATCATCTCCTTACCACTGTTGCTTATCAGGGGCCTTTCTGACATGCTACCAGCCGTCCAGACTGGGCCGACGATGTCGAAAATGACCTTGACGATCCCGCAACCCTACCTCCGCAAACCGTAACCACGAACAAGGACGGTACCAAGACGGTCATTTCCTACCGGTTCAACGACGACGGCAAACGGGTCAAAACCACTCGCCGCATACGCACCACCATTGTCAAAGAATTCGTCAACCCCCGCGTCGCCGAGCGCAAAGGCTGGGCGAAGTTTGGGCTCGAAAAAGGCCATGCCGCCGGACCGAGCTTCGACACCACAAGCGTGGGCGAGAACATTATATTCCGACCGAGCGTGACGTGGAAGAGAGACGGGAAAGAGGAGAAGAAAGTGGGGGATGACCCGAAGGAGAAGCTGAAGAACATGAAAGTCAAGTGCAGGATCTGTGACGGGGAGCACTTCACAGCCAGGTGTCCGTTCAAGGACACGATGGCGCCGATGGGAGAGGACGGAGCCGGTGCCGCGGGCGGGGCGGGTGCCGATGGGGACGAGGATGGGCCGCCGAAGGAGGGCGGTCTGGGTACTGGGGGAGGGGGTTACGTGCCGCCGCACCTCAGGAAAGGAGGAGCCGCCGGTGCCGGCGAGAGGATGGGAGGGAAGTACGAGAGGGACGACCTGGCTACGTTGAGGGTGACCAATGTGCGCCGGTCCCGGGATCCGTCGTTTCCTCGGCTTTACGCTGACGTTCGAATGTGTCTACAGGTTTCCGAGTTCGCAGAAGAGAACGATCTGCGGGAGATATTCGAACGCTTCGGCCGAGTCACGCGTGTGTTCCTCGCCAAGGACAGGGATACGAACAGAGCGAAAGGGTTCGCCTTCATCAGCTTCCAAGAGCGGACCGACGCTGCAAAGGCTTGTGAGAAGATCGATGGCTGTAAGTGCTGCCTCGTGCCAAACATTCCGCAAACGGCAAACATCGTTCGAGGCTTTCTGACATTGCTGTGCAGATGGCTATGGACACTTGATCCTTCGGGTCGAATTTGCAAAGCGAGCTGCTAACTAGAGCTACGGGCCGGTGTGCACGGACACGAGATAATGCATTGCTCGCTGTAATCAATGAGACGACCCTGCCGATGTCGGTCTGGCTGCTCCTTCTGATTTCTCCATCTGCCTCTCATGCTTTCTTCCCCTCGTGAACTTTCCTCCCGATCCCTACGAATGATTCCGGCCGACGTGGACGTGGACAAATGCTCACGTCCATTCTCGGCCCCGCCGAGCTTCCGTCGGAGGCTCAGAATGAGGTGAGAAGGACCATGAGATAGGTGAGCCCTACGGCCCTCCTATATACGCATCAACAACAAAGGACCGGCTAGCTGCTGCTGCAAAAATGGTTCCCAACACCATCGAGTGGCTCCTAACCACCCCTTCCATATATGCGATGCCACCAGGCCTTGTCTTTGTCCATGTCCGCGTCCCCTTTACCTGCCCGTGCCCTGATTATTTTTCTGTCTTCTGGATCCTTGATCCGACTGCCTTTTGCTCTTGGTTTGTTGTCCATGATCTGTTGTGCGCGATCTGTGCTTGATCCCTGCTATCGATCCCCCATCGCTTGCTATGAGATCGTGATGCCTACATGCTGAGTAGGGCTTTGTATCCTCGTCCAGTCGTGCGTTCATTGCTGCGATTGACTGTGCGTGCGTACTATAATAGGGCCTTGGCTTGTCCGGTTGCGCTTCCGTTGCCCACTGAATTTGTGTGTGTGCTTGTGTGTGTGTGTGCCTACGGGGGTCGAGATGTTGGAGTACCTTCGCTGAACGACTGTATGTGCCTATGGCGTCAGGCTTTTCGTTACCGTCGGGGCCTTTCCTCCCGATTGTGCCTACCTCGTGCTTGGGCTTTGTACCTACGAGAGTAGGGCTTTCGGTTGTCGGTGGGGGCTTTCTCGCCTTGAATGTGTTCGTGGGCCTACGCCGTGGTAGGGCTTTCGGCGAAATGTTCTCCATCTTCCCTGGCCGAAATCCTGCACTGTACCCTCCTGAAACCTAGTCCTTGATCCCTCTGAATATTGAATGCCTCGGCCGCTATCTCCTTTGTGGATCGTGGTTGGTGTGAGAGTATGTGCGAGGATTCTCAGTGCAATGTATACATCATTTTGTACACAAGGGATCCTGCCCCGCAGCTGCGCTGCACGGGCCCATAACCTGTTGGACGCTTGGAACGAGATGAGAAGGATGATGAGGTATGTGCGCCTTACGACCCTAGTATATAGACATCAACAACAAGGAAAGGGTTGATCGTGGTAGTAGATATGGCTTCCAATTTTCTACATTTGATTCGATCCTGCCTATCGAGTCAAAGAATGTAGAGATGTTGTGCGTGAAAGATCAAACACGACTATCAAACGGCGTGTTGAAATGCCACAAAGCTAGGCCTCATCCCCGAGCAGCCGACAACTGAGACGAATGCTCTAGAGGTTATTTACTTTGGACACTCTGGTTCCATTTTTTTTATATAGGGAGATTTTGCTGCGAGTGAAAATGCTGTTGAGGAAGAGGAAGACGAAAAGTCAGAACAAATCCAGGAGACTCAAAGACGATGGCTGTGTGGCCAGAGCCACAATGTGAGACCCAATATCTCGACGACTGGATTTTGAGGATCGTGTGAGACTAAAGGGGTCAGAAACGGATTTATTGATGCAGCTGGATGGGCGGGCGAAGGAAGACAATTCGCAAGACCACAAGGAGGCTGTAGGACCGGTCATGTGTCAGGAAGACCAGTATGCGACATGAATGGTCAAGACTTAATCTCTCTTTGTTGTAGCTAACGGCCTTCTCTAATTACATCATTCACCTTCCTCCAAAGACGCAGATAGGCTTCCACGGAGACAACGACGTCGGCGAAATCGCGTTTCGTGAAGACGTCCATCCAATGTCTGATTAGATCTGTTTCTGAATCGAGGTACACCAAACGGGCAGATGGTGGGGAGGCAACCGACGGCTCCGGCTCCTGTGCATCGGAAGTTTCTTGAACATTTTCAGTTTTGTAGAATGATACGCATGGGCGAACCTATTGTCCGTTGGTAGATTGCCAGCAGTCCATCTCGCATTGCGCTGTCCATGAGTGGAAAGCCAAACGCGTGATCAATTCCCACGTTCTCACTCTCCTGTGCGATGATGGCTGGATGTTAGAAGCTCAGAAATACCTCTTCATCTTTGTAGCAAAGATCTCTCTTTGATGTCGGGTCGTAATCCTCTCATGGCAAACTTGAAGGGATTGGGCAAGAGGCTGGCTTTGAATATTCTCTAAAATGGTATGGCCGTTGTTCCTACCCCGAAAATTCTCAGAACTTTCAGAATTCTAAGTAAACTTCTCTAGGGTTTCGGTTGTTCCTCTGCCTGGGAGCTCTTCTTCCGGGCTTTCCCATAGCAAATTCGACTCGACTTCTTGCGGGACACTGAGCCGTGTGCTTCTGAGAAAGTCAGGGAATGCAGATCATCAGGTAGGAATGTGTCTGCACAATAACATGTCAGCCGTATCCTGAAAACTGCAACTGTAAACTGGAATTTTGCCTGCTTCAAGGCCCCCGACGCTGTCAACAGTGTAATTTCGAGGCCAGACTATACCACTCATCAAGACTCGCTGCGCACCGTGTGGTGCAGGGGCTACATGGCATCGCACTGCGCACACTTTCAATGCACTATCTGTGTCGTGGTGTGTACGGTCAAGCACCGGATTTGCTGATACTCATTTCGCGGGGTTGATTCTTCGATTGTATCTTTGGACATCTTGAATGATCCGCCGTTACAGCCCAGAAATGTCCTGTTGTACACTCTTCGAGTTCGTCAGATCTCATTGGACGTAGTTATGCCCTCAAGGATCTTCAATACACCTTGATCAAGCTGTCAGTACATTGACAATGTAACGATCTGATCTCACGGTGACACCACACTATCTCGTATAGTAAAGAGCCGAATAACACCGTACTCGTCAAGGCACTGGCTGTCTCACTGGCTGTCACACTGGCTGTCACACTGGTTGCGCACGACACCACCGTGACAGCATGGCGGGCCTTGGGCTACCTTAACATATGGTCAATACTTGGCAGCTTTGGAGCATAGGACGAAGAGAGGCGACAAGATGGGATTGGAGCGTAGGAAGTCCGAAAGTTGGTATGCCAAAGTACAAAGCCGGCCTGGCACCTGGGGAGTGCTGGGGCAGAGCTCGAGCCTAATTCTGCTATGGAAGCAGATTCTCCCTAGCTTGGTAGATTGAGAGAAGGGGCCCGTGTTGGGGCAACCAATGGCAAGAGGTGTGTCTAGATAGTGTCCACGGAGGAAAGGCTGGAGGTGGGTCAGCGGATGGCATCTAGAGCATTCCAAGGAAGCAGAGGATGAGCTCGTCTAACGGTCTGCCATCCAATAAATCGCTCAACGAAACATGGTGAAGAGATCAACGGGTAATGATTGCTAGACCATCCCGGATGGTGAGCTCAGCGGCCAGCGAACAGGTCCAGCTGAGCTCTGCGTTGGGCTTCACTTGATCAATGTGCTCCAGGCAAAATGAATACGTGCCAATAGTTGTCCGATCCTATCCCGATTCCTATTTGCCTCACCCTCTGGTGCCTCGGAATAGGCCTACGCACCAAAATGATAAGCTGCATACCTCTCGGCACTAGAAGATCCGTCTAGTCTCGGTAGTATCAAACTTGATGTTGCCTCCAGGCTTACCACCACCATCGCATCAATCCCCCTCAGTATGCATGGTCCGTGCAGCTCATCAAACCGCCGATCGACGGGCTCCTAAACTTGCTCCCGTACTTGTTCGGCTTTCCTACAGCCGTGATATCTTTTCGTAATGACTATGGAATATACTTAGAGGGTGTCGTTCGCTTCAAGGCAAATCTTGTGGGAACAGTGCGCTCACACTAGTGCTTCTCTTGATTAATCTAGAAGGTTGTAGTGACCTCGAGTGGCAGTCATCGCAGCGGGGCTATATTGAAATCTCACTCACTGACGCCGTGATGCGCCTCACGCAGCCATACTCCATTTCCGCACTCATGAGGCAGGTGTCAATATCAAGGGGCCCGGGAGTGTGAAACGACTCCTGTCTATACATCCATCTTTCGTACCCTGATACATGGTGACCTGACTCGCTAGCAATGATTTAGCAGTGGCTAGAATCGGAATGAGAATCAGGAATACGGGAGGCTAGCCTATGTGAATAGCCGTTGGTTGATCGTGACTCTTCAATACTTTGGCTTGGCCGAGAGCTTCTGGGTGCAGGTGTGCAGGAAAGAGGCGCTATCTGAAACCCTTCTTCAAAGGACATTTCTCCAAGGTACTGACTGTCCCTTAGCTAAGGTATCTCGGACTCGGTAAAGTAGACGCTGGGTAATTTGAGCTACGAATACTAAAGTATCTTATTTTTACCCTCACGGCCGGAAGCACCAAGCCCTCATTTCAAGACGTCTCAACGCTTAGTGTAGAGAGACACTAAAGCACAGTGCGTGACCGATGGCATCATTTGCCCATTTCCAGGCTACTTCCGTCATCAGTCATCCACCAATCTGCTTTCTAGCCAAATAGCCGAAAATCGCGTAGTATTGCATGGACTTAAAAGCGCTTGTAGTCACTGTCCTGAGGCAGCAATGATTAAGAATTATGGAAAGTCGATGGCAGATACGCCTCAGTACGAGCATGGCGAAATTCATAGCTTTTTTTTTGTTTTCTCTTTTTTTTGGAGATGGGTAATTAATGAGGGATGAAGGATGTGGGATGAGGGATGCGTAATGCGTGATGAGTGATGCCATCGATGCGGGTCAAGGAGGACGGGGTGGCGGGGATCGCACGAGCAGGATATAGAACCAGGGTGGAAGGCGGGTAAGGTAACTAGGGTGCTTGCGGTGCTAAGATATAAGGTAGGTAGATCTATTTAGGTACATGTACTACTAGTACCTTAGGTGTGGCGAGGGTTGGGTGAGAGTGATCGGATAACAGGAAACAGGATACATACTCTAAAAGAAGACAAGGATGGTGCGGGGTAAAATTATCGTGGTGCGATGGTGTGGTGGTGTGGGTCCCGCAGATGCAATCATGTCTTTCTTGCATTCACCTTTTACATTGGCTAAAAATCAACCTTGAATTAGTGGTGTGCCATTTGTGACTGTGAATGTCCGGTAATCATTACGAGAATGCGGCGCTGCTGAACTTGTTGAACTTGCTGGAGTGCAGGGGGATGAGATGATGTACTCACATGCATGGCTGATGATTTGCCTCGTCGCAATCATTGGGAGTGAGAGAATGTGAGAACTGGAACGATCATGCTGCTTATTTCTCAGAGCCCACTTCATGCAGCAAGGTCACATGGCAGCAACGCTAGGAGAATAGGAAAATAGGAGAGTAGGAGGAATCCATCCCATCCTTGAGATATCGGCTGCACAGAAACGATCGACGGTAAGATTCCTTCCCTACGGAGTATGCATAAGCAACGGAGGGACAAGTCAACTGGTGCCTTCGTGTGTGCTGTGCGCCTTGAGTCAGTCAGTCAGAGCGGTTTGATATTCGTGGCACGGAGGCACAAGATATGAAGCTTCTTTTAATTTGTCTAACTTCTCAAATCTTACCCCCAACCACAGGCACTCTATTCCACCGTTTCATACTCACCATTTCCCACCACTTCACTTTCCATCATTTCTAAAGTATCATGTGGGAACATTTTTAGGTTGCCTTGCCTCGGTTCTGTGGGCAGGGCCGCTGCTGCCGTCCACTAATAAGGCAACTACAAAAGTATCTACTTATAATCTAAGCTAAGGTACTTTAGACCCAGTCAAAACATCTGCTAGTGAGTTACGGCAAGGAAGTACTAAGGAAGCACTAAGGAAGCACTAAGGAAGCTGAGGTGCAATCGCTATATCGAGGGCAATCGCTATAAGAAGGGTTTGTTATGGATGGAAGTTGAGTTACAAATCCTTATATCCATCCCTGCTTGAGTCAGATCAATCCCATTACAGTTCCCTGCTTGAGTCAGATCACTCCCATTACATTTCCCTGTTTGAGTCAGACCAACCCCAATACATTATGCAGTAGTCCTCAGGACAGTACGACTGTACCTACGAGGGTAGCAGTAGCCGGCACACGGGCAGTGTCCAAGCAATTACCATCCTCGATGACTTAGGGGTAGTAGTATCGCATTCATGCGTGCCTTAGCGCAAACCCTAGTCAAATATAGCATAGCAGGTAGCAAGTATACCTTATGATATTTATCAATTTGCGAACATTCCAACCCCATTCACTCCACCATGCGGCCTGCCGAGAACGACTCGTCCGTAAGACTGGATGAATGGCTCGGAGAATTTGTTGATGGCTTCACATGCAGCCTGCTGCATGTAACCTTCCCTCCCCCACCAACGGAATCGTGCTGGAAGCCTTGATCAGCAGCCTCTATAACGAACCCCTCAACGTTCCCAAGCCGTATCCTGCATCTGCTCAACACTTTAGCCGCTAACTTCTTGCCCAACCTCCCAGAGGCGCTCAATCTTATGAGGGGTCATGCATCTCACGCTTGCCACTCATTCAGCTATCTTTAGTGTGCCTCGATGGGGTGACAGTGTGCGGTATCATGTAGAATTACCCTCATGGCTCCTTTCCCTGACAAGATCACGGTGCTAAGGCTAGACTGCCCATCTCGACCCAGGCCTATATAGAGACCATCCTTCCCCACTGCACGATAGAAATCATCAGCAGTCCAAGAACCCAAACCACTTTCAAGAATTTCTCTTCTTTCAGTGGCTTTCTCTGTCGTGACTTCCGAAGCCATACCTTGTCGACCCTTCATCTTTCTTCCAACTTCTCTTCTCTACACCCGCCTCCCTCACCCTCTCACAGGGAGTCGACTCCCGTGGGAAACAGCACAACATTCTCTGGCCTAGTCAACGCCGACCCTTCATCAAATCACCAAGGCGTTCATACCTGTACACAAGATTTCAGCAACCCCGTCGTACCATTTCATCTTGCCAGTGGTCAGACCGAGAGACTTCACTTTGCATTTTCTTTTGCGATATCTTCCAACCAGCACATCGGAGCTTTGGTCGTAGCCATGGATCGTAAGTCTATTCCTACTGCTGAGAATTCTGTTATCACATTGTCTTGAAAACTTCCAAGCACATACCACTATCGGTACACACTGCGCCATACTTGCTCTCTGTCAAAGTGTGTCATCCACTGCTGTGTCTTTTCGTAAGATTGTACTATCGCATCACGCAAGCTGCCAAGAGAAGTGATAGTCTGAGGCGCCAAACCCTCTCATTCTCACGTCGCTGTTCGGTTTCAACCCGACTTTTTTTTCTTCAAGCAAGACAGAGACCATCCGAGAAAGAGCATTAGACAGCCCAAAAACTTTCTCGTTGATGCTGCTCTGATCGAAGTTTTGAGGATGTATATGTTTTCACCTGCTACTTTTTCTGACATATTGCCTGTGCATTCGTGTCTGCCTGTAACGTCTGGGCAAGCCATAGTGATCTCAGGTCTTTCGTGGCCATTGCAATATGCGTGCATGGCCTGGCGTTCTGACAGTATCTTTTGTACTTCAGCTGGGCAGAAAGAGCTAATGCCTTCCATTCCAGCTACTCAGAATAACTTCCCACATCACGGTCACATCAAAGACGAGCCAGTTCATATGTACAAGCAAGAACCTGTACAGGAAATGCGTTTGGCGGCAATACAGCCGGAGCACGGAGCAAGATGGGCAAACTCTCTTCAACCCGCGGGATTGAGGCAAACTTTGTAAGTCTAACGCAGAGAGTCATTCGACACTTCGATCCGGTTATGATTTCATCCCAGCACCCACTCTTTCTGTATCCATACAACTTACATTTTTTCCCTTTGTTTCGGTCTTGAATATATGCGAGTGCGTGCGAGTTTCGTCGTCCATCGTTTGCTCATCTTTTCCCTTTTGCATTATGCGAGTCACATAGACACTTTTCACCTTTGAAGTGCAGGCCATGGTTCCTTTGTCCTTGCGCAATTTCAACTTAGGTGCTTGCACTACTTGAGGATACACTTGCAACGAGTCAGACCGCCATTGTCTCCGAAGCTAATAAATGGCCACCAAGGGCTGCAAGCTTCCACGATGCCCATGACATGGGCATGGGAAGAAACCGTATCCATGCGGTATTGAACGAAGCTTCGTCTCCTTTACCACACCAATCAGCGTCAAACGGAAACACTTTCCACATACCCCCATTTCGGTGTTTGGCAGAGACCGCTGGTGCAGGTGAATACAATCTGAGCTCACCATCAATGATGCCGGCGATGCAAGCGAGGCAAGAGGATCGATATATGCCTCATTATCTGTGAGTCCTGTCCGTCTTTTGCTCCTGTCTCTGCTCTATTGTGTGCCACTCTGATGTCCTCATAATCTGAATCAACATTTTGTTGGCAAGGTTGCAAGAATTCAGTGAGCTAATGCCTATCGACGGAATTAGTTGCCAAGCTCCTCCCCACATGCCCCCAGATGGTGCTTTCCTGAGTTCGAACCATCTTCCGCTGCGAAACCCAAGCCGGCCGGCAGGACAATGCGATCTGCCACGTTTCTCTCTTCAGGGAAGTGCTTATGCGATTGAGAGTGGACTCGGGTATCCCCTAGACATGCCCCCTCCGCGTGTACGCCCTCATACCCTGGATCCGAGCAGACTACTGCATAGGCAGAGTCCAATGCCCAATCTACGAGCAGAATCCGTTAGCGAGTCTGAATTCGAGATGGACGATGCAGGGGAATCTGATCGCGCTTGGGGCCAGCAACTCGACTATGACGATGCAGCTGGTTGGGGAAGACACCCGGACACCATAGGATTGGGTGCCCCTAGCTTTCGCGACACAAAGACCAAGGGAGATATGCGCGATGCTGCGGGTGTGCGAGTGCGAGTGAGGATGAGTTCAAAATTTGTGTTGAAGAAAAGGGCCGCGAGACAGCGAGATTGCTGGATACTTTACCGCCGGAATTATTTCGGCATTCAAAGTTCTTACAACTTGCAACCCATCACAGACTCATCCCCGGACGAAACGTTATTTCTCTATCGTAATAACCACAAGCCGGAACCCATCAAGACCCTCTTGATGTGCATGAGAGGTGTAGTGGAGACAGAGGAAGGGTCAGAGATCAATATCGTGGTGTTCAACGCGAAACGGAAACCACTGCATGAAGGAAAAGATCCTCCACAAATCGAACCCAAGAGAATGAAGCCACTCGCAGGCTCCAATAGACACTATACAAAGTCCACAGGCGACCGCCAAGACCATATAAACGTGCCCATGAACCACACCTTTCATAGGAACCAGTTCAGGGCTGCAACGCAAAACAACGGGGCGAGAAGAACAGAGCAACAATTCTACCACATCCTTATCGAGCTCAAGGCCGAAATCATCGTCGATGGAGTCTCAAGACTATTCACAGTTGCCTCCCAGATGTCAGAACCGCTCGTCGTACGGGGTCGATGTCCCTTGTCGTTCAAGGAAAAGGACTGCAAGGACGGCGACCCTAACCGCAAAGGAAGGAAACGTCCCCGAGACCGGGATGGAAATGAGAAGAAAGGGGGCTCAACCACGCATAGCCAGAAGGAAGGACAAACGAAGGGAGCAAGCCGTGGTTCCTGTAACAAGACCGGCGATAGCCACCGGCGATCCACTCGGACTTCCTCCCATCTCACAGCGTCACATGCCAGTGTTGATGGAGAGGGTAGTAGTGGGGATCGACTGTCCATCGGGTAGGGACAAGACAGCATATTGCTACTCTGGAGACTCGACATAGGCGGCCTGACGTTCCCACGAGTTTGAGGCTGGAACCCAATGATCCGTATCGCTAAGGCCACAACCGAGGTCGATGAGTTCTGTAGGCCGAGATCAATGCACCCTCTTCTTCCTGGCCACACTCAACCAACGGGCCTCCATCTCGCCATATCAATTCCTTGGAGACAAACATGCGTCTTGGATCCTGCTCAGTCACTGGTTCTTACAGTCTCTATAAAATCTTGCAATTCTCGAATATATCAGGCTCCATCAAAATTGACTTCGAACCTAAAGATCCCGACAAAGATAATGGTCAACCTGCTATTCTCCGCCTTTCCTCCAAGAGTGGCTCCTCACGCGTCTTGAGATCAACAGTCTCGGTTCCCACTCGTGACTAAGAAATGGCAGTCAAATCGCTCAACGGTGGTATAGACCAATATAGCCCCCATATCTCCGCTACTAACCTCTCATGCAACTGGTACTGTCAACAGGGAGACCAGTCCCCGCAATGACCGTACATTGGCTCACTCTTGTACAAAGTGTTTGGATGAGGATCAGCCGTGGGAAATGAGCGCACTCAATCTCGCAGATCCGGTGTCGGTAGCGAAGTCTCAAAAGTAGCATGCCGAAGGTGTTAATGCGGGCTTCGCTCCTTACAGCATGACCTTGGATGGGTAATCACGATAGCGTATGATCTGGTGCGTCCGGCAAAGGAAGCTTATTAGATGCTACGCGTCGCAATCGGTGGAAGCCCGGCCAAGCATGTCGCTCCATGACGGCACCACCAATCTCACGGCTCGACCACCTCACAGACTGGCTTCCGATTTCTCATGCAAGCTTTTGTAATTCTCACACAACAGCAATGCATTTCCCGCAATCACATACCCAACGGATAGTAGCTCCTGGGTTTCACGATTAGACGATCTTATGACCCAGCGATCTAACGACTCTGTTTCCTGACGCTCGACACAGGCATGCGAATTGTCTTTTGAACAGCATAGCATTGGAGTTTCGGCGCAGGCGCTTTTCGCTTGAATGGCATCAGAGCAGTCACCTGCAGATTCGAAGACAGGTTGCATGTCTGAGGTAATGTTTGGCTATTGAATGTACATATAGGTCCTCTAGATAGTATGATGAACGTGTATATAACGCTGCCTCGTGCTCACATTGCGACAAAACAAGTAGAAATGAACGAGTAAGCTGGCACGTCTGGCAGGGCAGGAATCCCTGCTGTGATGACAAAGCCGGGCTACGGGCTCCCACTCTCCCACTTCAGCGTCATCAGGTGGGATTCTCGTATGATCCTGATTTCAAGCTCGACACCTTTTTCTAACAACAGCTGCAGGCGTGAGTTGAGTAGAAGTAGCTATTCGGAGTTTCTACCGTTGTCGGCTTCAGTCTTCCAATTTGACTGCCCAGAGTTGAGTCATCCTCAACATTTTCGTGAGCAGTCAATTACATTATTGCTGAAGGACATCAATCATTTGACCGCCTGATTCTCAATTAGCAGAGACTGTGCTTCCACCTGCTTCTCCACCTCTACAATCAGTTGCCATGTCACGCTTTGGTGACTACGGAGGAGGTGGTGAACGCTGGAACGCGGAGCGATTCAACCGTGAACGAGGCGGACGTCAAGTGATCGAGCGTGACCGTTTCGAAGAACATGAACGCTATGCGCCACCTCGAGCTGGTGGCCGAGAGACTGCTGTCGAAGAGTTCCAATCCCCTCCTCCTCGTGTTGCGCGTGGTGAACGTTTCGAGGAGAGAGACCGCATGTTCGAAGAAGAGAGATTCGGCCCACCTGCTCGCAGGTCAGTGGGCAGACAGCAGCGCTATTACGAGGAGGAGGACATCGATAACTTTGAGAGTAGTCCCAGCAGGGGGCCAGAGCCACTGGGCCGAAGGGGCTACGAGGCGACGCGAGCGCCTCCCAGGCCAGGCATAATCCGTCGACAGAGTAGCCTAGACACGTTTGATCGGAAGCCGCTACCTAGATACCCCAGGGAACCACCTGAGGTTATTGCCATGCCAGCTCCCGGTAGACGCAGGAGAAGCCCACCCCGATACGAACGAGACTTTGAAGAAATTAGGATTGCAGAACCAGACTATTACGGCGATGAAGAGTTCAGAGGATACAAGGAGAGAGAAGTTTCTACGGTCAGAAGGAGGAGGGGTGCTGAACCCGAGTTCGAAGAGAGGGAGAGTTTTGAGGTCGAAGAAGAAGAACCCTTTCCAAGGAAAGGCAAGACTAGAATGCCGGGGAAATTGGTGAACAAGCGAGCTATTATAGAGCTAGGCTATCCGTTCGAAGAAGAGGTAAGCAATGGTTTCGTCAAGAATATAGTCAAATTGATTGATCTGTTTTGTTTAGGGCGAAATGGTCATCATCTTGAAGGCTTTGGATAAAGAGCGGATTGATGAAGTTATCAACGTCAGCAAAGAGATGAATCGTGGCGCAAGTAAGTCAAATCTTTTCCCATGGTCTCTCGTCATTCCCACTCATGCGGAAGCCAGGCCGCACCACATACATGATCGAAGCTCCGCCGCATCCACCAGAGGAAGTTATTGAGCGACGCGAAATCGTCATTCCAGAAATCATGCTTCCCCCACCGCCATCCGAAGTGCCACGTTCAGTCCGCGAGTGGGACGTTATGGGTGGCTCTATTCCTGGTGGACATTCTGAGCATGGTGGCGGTCATTCCGAGCATGGTGCGAAGTCTACTCATGGTGGAAAGTCTACTCACGGCGGAAAGTCTACTCACGGCGGAAAGTCTACTCATGGCGGGAAATCCACGCATGGCGGCAAGTCCCACCACGGTGGTGGTAAATCTACGCACGGTGGCCATTCAACCAAAGGAGGCCATTCGGTCAAAGGCGGCCACTCGACAAAAGGCGGCCATTCGACAAAAGGCGGTCATTCAACGAAAGGCGGTCATTCAGAGGAAGGCGGCGAGTCCGAAAGCGAGTCCAGTAGCAGCAGCAGCAGCCCCTCTGAACCTTCGGTCATAATTGAGAAGAGGTCAACCCGCAGCAAATCTCGCCATCGATCCAAGTCGGTCGGGCACGGCGAGGTCATAGAGGAAATTGGCGAGTCAAATGCCATGCACAACGGTCCTTTGGCCTTGGTCCTTCCTCACCGTGAGAAAGAGCGCAACAACAGCAGAGACGAGCGTAGCATTAAGGCTGAGATACGAGCCCTTGAAGCGGAAAAGAAGAAGCTGAAGATCGAGAGAGAGATTGAGAAGGAGCACAGAAAGGAGAATAAGTATGATGAAGTCATCATAGAGAGGCGTGAGAAGGATGTCAAGATTGAGAAGGACCGCAAAGGTAACCTGAGCTTTGTACGGTGATTGGCAAAAGACATTGAGCTGATCAACCTCAAGCGCCTGACTCGAGAGTGATGAAGGCCCTGTTGGCGACTTTGACATAAGTCTTTGCCCGCCAGTGCTGTCAATCCACTGCCGAAACCTATAATCCGACCACTCCATGATGGGTCGCAATAGCAAACACCACACTGTTGCGTTGACGGGATAATGAAACGCCCGGAGAGCATTGGCGTAGGTTCTCTTTCGTGATCGCCTTTGTGAACAGCGATGAATCCTCATGAGCTTTGATCTCCAGCCGACATGTCTCGTGGCAATATCCAGTCTGCGAGACTCGGTGAATTGCTACCCTAGGCTGGCATTTGATATTTAAATTATGCGATAGCAGTCTGTTGAATAGAAACGAATGCATGAATGAATCCTCATGACCGTGACCAAAGTATCGTATATTAGAAATGATCAGTAGACGTCCTTCTCGTGAGTGCGAGTACTCTGCCTCAATCCCACATAGATTAGGCTATTTATAGGGTTAAAGTCGGCGAATATTCGTTCACTTTCACAACAGCAGATTTTCATGGATCTCTAGGGATCTAGGGAATACAGGAGCAATGATGTGAAGATCCTCTCTAGGGCATTATGCCAATATGTATCGAATGTTGCTATCCCGTCTCTCAGCTCTACCACGTCCTCCATAGCCGAAATCACAAAGCCACCGCTCCGCCTGTCTCTGACCCAACCCACAAGAAGTCCACCTCAAATTTCTCAAGCCCACAGAGGCCCGTTCCCAATGTACCAAAGGTTCCGGAAAAGAAGCTCAAGACTACGAACACTGGATCGGGTGGAGACGTGAGGTTGACGCAATGCCCGCGTTGCAAGCGCTTTGCGGACAAATATGTCGAGCACGACTTTGTAGTGTTGTTTATTGATCTGGTGCTTGTGAAACCACAGGTAAGCAAGATTTGACTAAAGAAGAGGAAGAAGAAGCAGGTATCCATAAGACGATCAGCCTGTTGACGTTTGTTTGTCATCAGTTATGCTGGCGTTTACTGAGAGTGCTCAAGGCTAACGATCTGACAGGTCTACAGACACCTTTTGTTCAATCGCCTCTCTCGTGATGATGATGAGCTCGACGTACACTTTTCTCTACCAACACCTTGTGAAAAACTACTAATAGCTTATATATCAGCCCTCCATCACCCGCCTCGGCACCCTTCTCCTCCTCTTCGACGTCTACCTTACCTGGTCCCACATCGAATCCTTTCCTCCACCCCTCACAGCCAGTTCGCCAATCCCAACGCTCCCCGTACTCCTCCAATACGCTTTCTACTTCTTCCTCTGTGCCTTCACCACACTTTCTCAGCACTTGACCATCCGTTGGCTGGCTATTGTTTGGCGGCTTGGTGCCACAGCAAAGGATGAGCATAGCAATGAAGGCGGCCCCAGCGTCAATTCTGGTGGTAACACCTTCGCTCCATTTCCAGCTCCGCCGAAGAAGCCAACCCCTAATTCCATCTCCACGGCTCTGTTTGTCAGCTCCTGCCTGTCCTTATTTCCCATCTTGATGGATGTCTGGAAGTATGGTGATACATCAGAAGCCACGAATCCTACCACGACCACGGAACCACCACTCAACAGCTCCAGCGTGACATTTGTGTTTAGCTTCCTCTCCACGCAAGGCGGAGGCGTTGATTGGGTGCGACGAGGTGTTGCATGGGCTGTTGCTGTCCAGAACATGGAGGCGTTGAGGATACTACTGGGATGCAGATATTTGACAGCTTTGGGCTTGGTAGCTGCTGGTGGAGCGGTAAAGTGGGTAGTCAGAAGTATAATATTGGGAACTGTTGGACTTGGAGCCGAAGGATGAAGGGACAATGACGAACGGCCGAACACCAAACGCAAATATTCTCCGGCAATTATCGAACCAACGGCGTCATCAGCAGAATAGCCCATTGCGTTGAACGTGCACGCGCAGCGATACTCACAGATGTGCTGTCTGCAAGGCTGGAGGACCAGCTCTTCAGTACTTGAAGCCGTTTCACTTCAAGCTCGAGACCAACCGAAGAACTACCAGACGAAGTGAGATTTCTGAGGGCAAGCAAGGACTAGCTCTGAGATCTCGAGTGCACTCAGAGAAATTCAGACCAGATGCTTATGCTAGCAAGAGAGATACTGACTAGGATGCTATCAGTATGCTCTTGCTGCGAAGCTGGGTGAACCTGCGTGAACTCATAGGCAAATTGTATGGGATATAGAAATTGATGGTGGTGGTTTCGCCTGCGGAAAGGCTTTGAGCTCGGTCTTTGCTTCAGCATATGCACTCCCAATGACCTGAAAACCATCTCTGGTGTGAGATGCCGTCGCAATGCATTGATTGGAAATAGCAGAAGTATGTGATTCAATTGGTAAAGCGTCATTCCAAGGTGCGTCGTTCTCTAAACAACGCCGGCTACGGTTGCTGCTGGACAAGCTGGAGAGGACAGAAAGTGCAGTGGACAGAAAGTGCAGTTTGTGTTCGTAACGGAAAATGGACCACAGTCCATGGAAGAAAGAATCAGATTTCCTCCGGTTAGATTCCCCGTTTCAGGGGACCATTCAACTGCCATCACGGCTCTTCCTATCGAGGATCTGGAGTTAGCATGTTCATTCAAATGTAGTCTTACAGTCAGATACTATGTCTGGAGCGTTTAATATCCCGCAATCTTGTCTTCCAATACTGAACCCTCCCTAAACTGCGAGAAACCAACTCCGAAGAGCAGCTTACCTATAGCTCGCCTCTTGCTCAACCTGAAGCCCGTCAACAACAGGTGCCAGCTCGCTCAAAATCTCGTAGGCCTTTTTGTGATATTCCAGCTGCGCAGCGATAAGATCCGCGAGGTTGCGTAGAGGCTCCGGCGTGTCAAGGACCTATCATCCACCTCTATGTTAGCAAACCCGTAGTTGGACACTCGTCCATGGGAGAGGGCAAAGCGCACATTCTTCATCACACCCACTGCTTCCTCGGTAACCCCCACAAACTCATCCTCCTTCCTCTCCACCTCAGCTCTATGCTCATCACTCATCGGCAGATCCTCCTCCCCCTTTCCACCCTTCCCCTTGGCCTTCGTAGCGTCGAGCCCCAACCTCGCATTCTCCACACCCCTCCTCGCCCTGGTCGCAAACATCAAATTCGTGTTCAGCGTAGTGCTCCAACCTGCCAAGAATCTCTGCTGAATCTGTTGGTCTTGCGCCAAGCGGGCTTCTCCCACCTTCTCGCTCGCCAAGGCATATCTCTCGAGAGCGGTAGCTAGTGGGTCTTCGCCACTTGACGAGGATGGATTGGTCTGGATGAGCAACTGACTGCCGGCGAGGGAGGCGCGAGCGATAGCATGGGGGAAGGTCTTCGGCTGGGGCTTTGCGCTAGGGGGAGCGGTGAAAGCTGCTTGGGCTTCGGCGGGGGATTTGGCGTGGGAAAGGAGGTTGACTTTATCGGTTATGGTACGTCCAAGGTCGTTGAAGGACTCGCGGATGTTGGGAGGGTAGTCATAGGCTTCGTTTGAGTATTGCGAGCTTCGTATCTATCAGTGGGGAGTGGACGATGGGTATTCAAGGTAGTCCAAAGCATACGTGACTTGAAGAAGCTTCTGGTGTACCTGTTTGAGGGCATCAACGCGCTTCTCGAGCTCGATGTAGTCCGGTGGGAGCTCAGTCTAGATAGGATATTTCAGCTGCGCTGACAACATTCACACAGCTCTTGAAGAGTCTTGGAGGAGGGTGGTACCTTGTCGTCAGCAGTGCCTAGCTGCTCTTTGACGTACTGTTGAGTCCGAGCGGCGAAAGGGGAGAACGAAGACCTGCCCACTGTTTAGCTAGCCAGACAGGACTAAGGGGAGCCCTTACGGATACCCACGTTATGTTCTTCCCAAAGGCTTGGAACTTGTCCATCGTATGAAACTGGCTATGCTGCTGAAGATTATGTTGAGAGTATGAACATGCAAACGTTGAGGAACTGGCTGTGTTTTGAACCTGTATTTTATTACATGTGATACTGAGCAACTACGGAGTTGCTCTAGGGCAAATTAGGTGGGAGACTGGAAAGCACAACTGGTGCCACGGGTGGCTCAAAGACGGTAAGTCACTATACATTCACTATCATTCTCAGTCTTCTGTGAGAGGAGTGTTCTTTGTTCCGTCTAACATTAACCTATGTAATTACAAGAAGCGCTTTGACCATGCCGTAAGATCCAGTAATATCTGTCATCGTAGGGAGACAACAGGTGAAGAAACTGCTGGCGCCATATGCGAGAGAAACGCCAGTAGAACGGAGTACGGGTACACAAGAGGTCACAAGATGAGAGGCTTCAATGAAGACAAGGATTCAAAGGAAGAGTGCTTTTTCAACGTGGTACCCTATGGCTTTTTCTCGCCTTGGCTGTCGCTACCTTGTTGGCCCTCTGGTGGTGTCTCTCCTGCATTGCCCGGTGGTGGTGTCTGCTGCTCCTCTGTGCGTGCCTTGTGCATCTTGTCGAATAGATTTAAGCTTGCCACTTGCAGCTCATCTGTCTTCTCCTTAAGCTCCTCTGCCGTTGCACTTCCCTCACCGCTTTGGTTCTTCGCAACAAACTCTCGAAGCGTGGAGATCTTCTCTTTCAGTTGATCCACTTCAGCCTTGTCGAGCTTGTCAGCAAAATCTTTCAAAGCCTTCTCGGTGTCGTTCAAAACACCGTCAGCGCGGTTGGCTGCCTCGATGGCTGACTTTCGCTCCTTATCCTGCTCTCCGTACTTTTCGGCATCGTTTACCATCCCTTCGATCTCTGATTCCGAGAGACCAGATCCAGATGCAATGGTAATGGATTGATCCTTGTTGGTGGACTTGTCTTTGGCGTGAACGTGCACGATGGAGTCGGCGTCAATGTCGAAGGTCACTTCAACTTGAGGAACACCACGGTGGGCTGGCGGAATACCGACGAGCTGGAAGTTTCCGAGCAACTTGTTATCACGGACGAGCTCACGCTCACCCTGGTACACTTTGATCTCAACAGCAGTCTGAAAATCTGCTGCTGTGGAAAATACTTGCGACTTCTTGGTGGGTATAGTGGTATTCCGGTTTATCAGACGCGTAAAAACGCCACCAAGAGTCTCGATACCAAGAGATAGGGGCGTAACATCGAGCAGTAGTACATCCATAACCTCACCAGCTAAGACAGCACCTTGAATAGCAGCACCGATAGCCACAGCCTCATCTGGGTTAACCGATTTCGCAGGATCCCGGCCGAAGATGCTCTTTACTGATTCGGTGACCTTGGGCATGCGAGTCATGCCTCCAACAAGAATGACTTCCTGGATATCCTTCGCCTGCAGGTTTGCATCTTTCAAGGCTTTTCTCACTGGATCGATGGTCCGGCCAATCAGGGGCTCGACGAGGTTTTCGAGCTGGGATCTTGACATCTTCAGGTTGATATGCTTGGGTCCTGACGCGTCAGCGGTGATGTAGGGAAGGTTGATGTCGGTTTGAAGACTTGACGAAAGCTCGATCTTGGCCTTCTCGGCAGCCTCACGAATACGTTGTATAGCCATCCGGTCGTTTGACAGATCGATACCAGATTCTTTCTTGAATTGCTGGACTAGGTGGCGAACGAGGTTAATATCGAAGTCCTCACCCCCCAAATGAGTGTCGCCGTTGGTTGATTTGACCTCGAAAACGCCCTTTTGAATCTCAAGGATCGAAATATCAAAAGTTCCGCCTCCTAGGTCATAGACTGCGATAACACGATCTTCTTCTTTTTCAAGTCCATACGCAAGCGCAGCAGCTGTGGGCTCGTTTACAACTCGCAAGACGTCAAGACCAGCGATCTGCCCAGCATCTTTGGTAGCTTGACGCTGTGAGTCGTTAAAGTAGGCTGGCACAGTGACGACACCATTCTTGATGCCCTTGTTGAGGTACGACTCAGCGGTTTCCTTCATTTTCTGGAGAACGAAGCCACCAATTTGAGAAGGTGAATATTTCTGCCCCCGAGCCTCGACCCAAGCATCTCCGTTCGTATGCTGGACGATCTTGTATGGTACCTCTTTGATATCTCGCTGACATTCGGCATCGGTATACTTGCGCCCGATGAGACGCTTTGTAGCGAAGAGAGTATTTTCTGGGTTTACGACAGCCTGGCGTTTGGCGGATATGCCGACAAGTCGCTCGCCATCTTGCGCAAAGGCGACCACAGAAGGTGTTGTCCTCGTTCCTAGAGGGAATGCTTTAGTACAGTTGCACGAAAATGCAGAGCACGCCTAGTAATACTGACCCTCGGCGTTTTCTATTATTCTGGGTGTTTTGCCTTCTAAGATAGCGACAGCTGAATTGGTTGTGCCTGTATTTGGTCTCAGCAGATAGTCATATGTGGGCTTTGAAGGCTTTGGCACGCACCAAGATCAATACCAATCACTTGGCCTTTTACCTTCCCTTCGCCACCTGAAGACTGGCATCGAATAAATGAAGATGCTAAAGGCGAGCGGGCGACGGGGGAACGTGAGAATGCTGAGATGGTGCGAGGCAGCTAGAGCTCCAGTGGTGAGCTTGCGAGCAAAACGTGATGTTCCTGGGGCGGCCTTACCGATCTGGCGACCCTCGACGAAAGCATTTTTTGACGGCTGACAGCCACTGATGATCAAACAGTAAGAGGTTTTGCACCTGCAGAATTTCGCAAGGAGTGATGGAAAATTTGTCGAGAGACGAGAGGATGAAGTACTCAAGTAGTAGAAAAAAGATTTAGAAAAAAGATTGACGGCGGCAAACTTCATCGAAGTGGTCAGCCCTATCCGCAGAACGCCAACTCCTGCCATTGATTCGATGACATTCCCAGTGCGTCAAAACTTGATGCAGCATTAAGGCTCCTTGCGACCACATAATGACAATTGACTATATAAAGTAAGATATGGAGTTGTACAACGAGGCGTCGTCAATCAAACTGACCACAGGCTATAGACCTTGTGAAACGAAGTCTTTGATCCATTCGTCCTGCGGGCATTTCTACCCTCTCAAGATACCCCAACAGTAAGAAGTCTCTCTTACTACTGTCCGTTAAAGGTTTCCTGACCTTGTGATATACATAGACATAACCAACTTAAGAATTTCATAAGCACCAAAGACCCCAACATCATCTACTATGCCTCTCACCATGAGATCTACGCTTTACACGTCTCTACACGGAAAAGAAAGCTGATCAAGAGCTTACCCTGGCAGCCTGTTTGTCTTGACGCTGGCTACGGTTGGATTTGTGTCGGTGGACGAGAAAACGGGCGATGTGCTTTTATCAGTATCAACGAAAGCAGCGATGGGCCGACGACAGCCTTCAGGCAGCATGCCGAAGTCGATGAGCTCTTGCCTCTGGACCTGGACCCCGAGTATAGACGTACCACCAGCGATCCAAGTGTAGTCCTGCAATGGCCTCGACCTTCCCATGGGAGCTCGTATGAGTTACAGACCCATGAACTTGGGGCCGATATTGTCAACTCAATCACAATCCATCTTCTACGAAGCGAGAAGAATAGCCGAGAGGATGAAGTCGTGGCTGTATTGGCGTAAGCTATGCTGAATTTGCGCCCTGGGAACGAGGATTGACGTCTTGTGTTCAGAAACAATGACCAAAGCGTCCGAATCTTCTCGCTGACACAGTCTCGTCTGCTTGAAACGCTCGAATTCCCGATTGCCATGAATCATGCTTCGATATCACCAGATGGGAAGCTTCTCCTTGCTGTTGGAGATAGACATACAGCCTTCTTTTGCAAAAGAGTGCGGTTACCTAGCGCTCTAAGCGATGGCGTATCGTCCTACGCAAGCTATGAGTGGCATGAGATTGCGGGGCTCAAATTGAGCCTCGCAGAATCGAAGGATGCCTGCTGTACGTGTTCTCTAGGGCTTGCCTTTTTATTCTGTACCGAATGTCGAGTCGTGAGACATGTCTCGAGGATCATTGCTCCCCATTCATGTCTCACGGCTCAAGGTTTGATCTCAAAAGGAAGTTGCTGACTGCGGGGATCACCATTAGTCTCTACTGCCTTCTCGCCATCCGGTCGTACGTACATTTCGGAGAAATCTATCCATTTTGTAACCGGACTTGAATCAAACGAGATGTTTCGGAAGCCAAAATCCCTTTTTGTTCCTCAAATTAGTTTACAGCTCGGACGTTTTGCCTCGAGGAAGTCATGCTAACTACAAATCCTGTGTAGATATTTGCGCCGTCGCTTCGCAGAATGGTGTTATCACGATCTTCGATACAGCCTTGATTCACGATGATATGGATGCTGAGGAAGCGGTAATCGAAGTACTCAGGTCTTCTCGACCTTCAATGTCCCATATCCACACAGGGGCTGTCCGATCAATGAGCTTCTCCCCAGGGCCATGGGATCTCTTAGCCTGGTAAATTGCGTTTTTCTAGCAATGTTTCAGTATCCTAATACATTCTCAGTTGCAAGACTTGTTCAGGGCTGCATTACTCCACGGACCTCTTTCACGACATGAAATCGATCCTACAAGAGATATGCTAACTTCGAAATGATGTAGGGTAAGCACAATTCTGAAGGAGTTTTCTTCGATCTTGTACCGCAATCTCAGTCACAAGGCGTGGCGGGGGGTCGAGAGTTGATCAATATTCCCACTTTCTTCCCCAATTCGACTAACGAGCCAGACTCTACGTTGATAGTGAAAGCTAATATTAAAAAAACACAGTCCGAAGATCAAGGCCATGTATGCGTGGTAGATTTGCGCAACGCATTCCAATCGAGGCAAACTATCGACCTACACACCGACTCCCCAGGTCTCATTAGAGCGGAAATAGAAGAGTACGACACTACATCAGAGCAGCGGCAACTAGAGATCGAACGCAGGTTTGTGGAAAGGCACAGGGAGGCCTTGGAAGCACAAGATCAGCTCGCTGCTGTAATACGTACGGCGAACAACGTGGAGCTTGGCGCTGAGCGAAGAAGAATTGAACGTGACGCTGCAGCAGCACAAGCATCGCGTGAGCGGCAATTGATTGACTCCATTGGCCTGCGACGTCTACAAGAAAGTAATTCCGTTTCTTCTGGCAACCTTCCAACCGCTCCTATTAGAGTGAACTACAACCCATCGTCTACCGGACGGACAGAATCTCGTGAATGGAGTGGCATCCCCTCTCCTTCATCTAATCCTCAAACTCGTTCATCAGCGAGCATCCATGATTTCATACGCCAACGGGAGAGAACTCGCTTGAATGACCGCTCATATCAACCGCGCCGCCGCAGTTCAGTCGTCATGTCCAACTCGAACTCGAGTTCTAATACCTCATCACCTCACACTTCGAGCCTTACACCTGATACGGCCACTCCAACCCTCTCTGCTTCCCCTTCGCGCCTTTCTGCTAGCACAAGCGACGCAATCGCCACCAATACCCCCTTCAATCCCACGGATCCTTGGCAAACCATCACTGATGCGATGTCGTCTGCCGACATCCCGCCTGATACACTGCGCAGCCTGCAATCAAGAAATCTGGAACGTCGTGTGCAAGCTACAGCGGTACAGCAAGCTACCCTTGACCGTCCAAACGACCTCATGATGGTCGAACATGCAGATGCGTTGGAGGCACGCGGTAATCGTGCCAGAGATAATGTGCGATCGTTGAGGCAGATGAGAGCAGCCCACAGCAGAGCTGACGTCGTGTATGATGAGATCGATCGGGAGTTGCTGTTGAGAAGGTATCAGAGAAGTCCTAGGCGGGAAGCGGGCCTCATCACCATGGGGATCGGATGGAGCGAAGACGGCCGCAATTTGTAATTCCCGCTTTATTTCTTCTCAAATGGGGGCTCTATTGACTGTGCACCTTAGGTTTGTCGCGACCGAGGAGGGAATCTTGGAGTACAACGTCAACATCGAAGGGAGGAAAACGTTCCCTGGTGCCTCATTCTTGTGACTCTAATGGTAGGACTTGACCTTTTACGTTAATCGTACATGCGTTTTTGGCATGGATTTTAGCAATAGCCTCGCTTGGCCGCGCAAATGCGTAACTGTAGCATGGCGTTGAAAGCGAATGACGACCTAGACTTAGATGTATGTTCCTAGGAAATCCACTAGGATCTACATGAACAGCACATTGGCCGCATTTCCCGATGCTGCAAAATCGTCGTCCCTAGGCCTTCACAATCCAGCCCGAGTGTACAAAGAAATCGAAAAGCTTTACGCATTTCGAAGAATCAATCTGTTCTCACAGCATCAGTCATAAGCATCTTGAGCCAAAGCCAAATGACTTCAAAAACTCGACGTACCTTACACAGCTCCCTAACTGTCTTCCTCTTTAACGCACCTCCATTCTTCATGGCTTCCCGCAAGACCGTTTCTTTAATGACTAAATATGGCTTTGGCATCAATCGCACGACGGAACACAGCTCTGCTTCCTCATTGGTTAACAGATGCAGGTCCGTCGCATTTTCGCTGGTTAATTTTAGGGGGGCGGTGCCATTCAATGGCGGTACAGAATAGCGAGTTTTCTTTTCATGCTGTGGAGGAGGAATATTGGCCGTATTTGATGTGCCATTCGTGAGGGGCCCTTTCGGATGGACGCCATTTGTTGTAGCTGTTGTCGATGGAGGTGGCACAGGGTTTGGAGGTATCGGCTTCAGGCGCTCGGGCAGTTCCGGCGCCGTAAGTTCAAGGGTTACAGCAGCCTTGACGTTCGATTCTTTTTCACTCTTCTTCTCCGGACGCACGCCTGCTTGGCGGTCGAACGCTCCTGTAGGAGCTGGACGTGCAGCGCGCGCTTGTTTCTCTTGCTCATACTTTTCACCCGTTTTGAGGTCGCCAATGCGCATTTGGCGCCAATCCTGTAGCTGGGCGATAGCTTGACGGAGGTTATGTTCGAACTCGAGGTGCGATGTGAAAGCCTCGAAGTCGGCGTGATTCATTATTCGCGCAAAAGGCTTGGCTTTGTTAGCAAGCGTTATTTCTTCTTTTGTCTTCTTTTTGTCAAGCGCGACGCTCTTCTTGTATTCCAACAAATTGTGTTCGAATATCACCTTTTTCCGGTCGGCTCGCGAAGTCAGACGTGCATTGTATATGTCCATTACTACCATTTTCAATTCCATTTCTGGCTCGACTTCGCCGTTCCGCGGGTTCAGGCCGTCACCGGGATCAAATTGCATATGCTGAACTGCTTCTTCGGCTTCGTTGGCAAATTCCGTCTCGAACTCGAGGCGGCCAGGCATGTACCCAGCGACTTCGTGGCATGCTGGGACGCTTGCCGTAGGTTTCTGCTTAGGTGTCGCTGGTGGGGCTGATCTGGCTTCCTCTCTTCGTTCTTCTATCCGCCGCTTCTTGCGTGCTTGGAACATCTCCCGCGGTACCTCCTCTGACAAATGCTTATCGCCGGGATCCGCATTCTCTGGTAATGGAAATTTTGAACTATCGACATAGGTCTTGATATAGTGGTCGCGGACTTCGTCCTTTGTCCGATAGCCCCCAATGTGGTCGGCTATATCAGCCCAGGAGCCAAGTCCGTATACCTCTGCTCCTTCCAAGAGGCAAAGCTCTTCATCCGCTCCCCAGTCTTTGTCGTAGATTGGGATTGAATGCTGTTCGATCACCAGGAATTCATGGGTCGCAGGATCATGATCGCGTGACTTCGATCCATCCTTGAAGCATTGCACACATAAATCGTAGTCGGTGCAGACGTGGCAGCGTATGCGAACCTAAAATGAACTTAGTGTTGTGGCGCTAAGGCTGAGGCACAAAGATCAGAAGAGGAAAAGCCTACAGTGGCAGTGATATCGGCGGAGCATATATCACAGATATACTTGAGTCCACCCTCGGTCCCACGCGATATGGTCTTCTTCCTTATCACCCCCATCGCGCACTTCCGGGAATTTGTCCTGCTTTGATACTACTATACACACACTGTCAGACAAAGCCACGCTGTGCACGCGCCGGCGTTTCTTACATCAAGTCCAATCATGAGCCTGAAGTTAATCAAATGGTTACTTGTGTATGAAAACAGTCCGCTAAGAATGCTTCAGACGGGAGAGTTCTCTTCTTGGTATCGGTACGCTCGATCTAGGAATCCGTACCGCTTCAGTTGTCACTTTCGGTGGTAGCGGCCCTGGTTGCTAAGCTCTAAGCCGCTGGGTGCATTCGAGCACAATGTCTTGGATTGAGGATCTGCAGGCAGGAATAGTCATTTGGTGGTATTCTGGAAGATTTTAGAGAGATTGAAAGAAGAGGTTGATAGACTTTGAACAGCCTGCGATGTTCATCTTATCTACAAGTATGCTGCATCTCTAGAGCATGCATTGAGGTTGAAAGACGGCATGAGCCGCCACTAGCCTTGAGCGGACCAGCGTTTACGTAGGTAAGCGAGCCTCCGCAATGTTTTGGAGAGCGTTTGTAACTTGTACCCTCGTACCCTTTACTCTCTTGAACAATACCCTTGAACACTTGCTCACCATGGCCCAGAGCAGGGTTGAATGCCTTCATCGTTGATACCCCGCACCCTCTTTACCTGTCTTGCCATCTTCTAACTGTGGTGGTTCGCTTATCTACCAAAGAGACCGTGACGGCCTTTCTCTCCAACTAGCAACGATACGACCCTTCGCCATCCTACCGCTCCACCGCTATCATCTCAACCCCTCTTCCTCTAGCCCGCAACAAAAACTTCCCAAACCAACAGCATGTCTTGGAACCTGACTAAGAGTGAAGTTTGTCGTACCATTCTACCAGCCAAGACTGACTTCCCGTAGAATTCAAGGAGACCCACCTGGGTCCTCTGAAGAATTCCCTTGGAGGCCGGTCGACCTCTACTTCGACAATCAAAGCAGACTCAGTTGAGCCCATGGAAGAGAAGCTGAGTACCAGCAGCAGCAATGATCTTGGTAAATGTTACGTTCTTCATCCTTTACCAGTGCTCACTGTCGCTAGCTGCGTCTGAAGCTATGATTTCTCCACCTCAAGCGCCACTTAAACCTGGAATCCTTGTTGTAACTCTTCATGAAGGCAAAGACTTCTCACTGCCTCCTCATTACCAACAACAGTACAATCCACAATATCAGAACTCGGCATCAAATGGCTTCTCCGTGGCTGGATCGATGCGTGGCGATTCTTCAATGTCACGTACTCCTGGTGGAATAGCTGGATCCTACGCTCAAAATGCTCGTCCCGCCTCGGGCGGAGGTATCAACGCCGCCCCTACCATTCATGGTCGCTACTCCTCGCGGTACCTTCCGTACGCCCTCCTCGATTTTGACAAGGTCCAAGTTTTTGTGGATGCTGTATCTGGAAGTCCACAGAATCCATATTGGCCTGGCGAAAATACCTCCTACAAATTTGATGTCTCTCGTGCTACAGAATTAACGGCGCAAATATACCTTCGAAACCCTAACGCAAGAACGGGCGCAGGGAGGAGCGAAGATATTTTCTTGGGCATAGTTCGTGTCAATCCACGGTTCGAGGAGGTCAAGCAATACGTAGAGGATCCCAAAGCTAGTAAGAAAGATCGGGAGCGAGGAATGGCTGCATTCACTCAGCAGGAGCGACAAATGGGACAAGTGGGTAGTGAATGGCTGGATGTTGCTTTCGGAACGGGGTCGCTGAAGATTGGTGTTGTATTCGTCGAGAATCGGCATAGAACTTTGACGATCGAAGACTTTGAGCTCTTGAAGGTCGTTGGGAAGGGTAGCTTTGGCAAAGTGATGCAAGTCCGGTACGTGCAAACAATGCCTAAAGTGAGCTCGAAGGAATTTGCGCTAATACAGCAATAGGAAAAATGATACCCATCGAATCTATGCTCTCAAAACGATCCGCAAGGCCCACATTATCTCCAGATCCGAGGTTGCGCACACGCTTGCTGAGCGGTCAGTCTTGGCCCAGATTAACAATCCGTTCATTGTTCCCCTCAAGTTTTCATTCCAATCCCCTGAAAAGCTCTACCTTGTGTTGGCCTTCGTCAATGGTGGTGAGCTTTTCCATCACCTGCAGCGCGAGCAGCGCTTCGATGTCAATAGAGCAAGGTTCTATACCGCTGAACTCCTTTGCGCCTTGGAATGTCTACACGGTTTCAACGTTGTCTACCGGGATCTTAAACCAGAAAATATTCTCCTCGACTATTCTGGACACATCGCTTTATGCGATTTCGGACTATGCAAGATGGACATGAAGGACGAGGATCGAACGAACAGTAGATTTCCAGTACCCAAACATCCGCAAGAACATATTGCTAATTCGCGTGGCAGCTTTCTGCGGTACTCCTGAGTACCTTGCGCCAGAACTACTCCTCGGTCAAGGTTACGACAAATCGGTGGATTGGTGGACCCTGGGTGTGCTCCTCTATGAAATGTTGACAGGCCTACCTCCATACTACGATGAGAACACCAACGAGATGTATCGAAAGATACTATCGGAACCTCTTCACTTCCCAGGACCGGAGATTGTGCCGTTGCCGGCAAAGGACCTTTTGATGCAGCTTCTCGATCGTAGACCAGAGCAAAGGCTTGGGGCCAAGGGCCCGTCTGAGATCAAAGCTCACCCATTCTTCAATGCTATCGATTGGAGGAAGTTATTGCAGCGAAGATACGATCCTACGTTCAAGCCCAATGTGGTAGGTGCCCCATTGCCCTTGCTCGTCTTGGCCAAAAAAACTGATTATCATAGACCGATGCGCTTGACACGGCGAACTTTGACCGGGAATTCACCCAAGAGGCGCCCACCGACTCTTACGTCGAGGGACCGATACTCTCGCAAACCATGCAACAGCAATTCACAGGCTGGTCCTACAATCGTCCTGTCGCTGGTCTCGGAGATGCTGGTGGCAGTGTAAAGGATCCATCGTTTGGGAGCGTTACCGGCTGAGAGGGTATAGAAAGGAATGAAAAGGAGAGACAAGCATGAAAGCATCTGATCAGGCGTAGAAGAGAGGGTGTCCTTCCAGAAGCTGGGCTTACTTGATAAAGGGGCATGTGATAGGCAGAGACCCACACACATACTCAACCATTGTCGCCGAGCAAAGCAATGCGAACAAAAAATCCAAATGTACCGTGCCAAGCCACCATGCATCATCCCTGAGGGCGGCACTACGACTAGGTGACCGTTGGGTAGAGCGTAGCATGCTAAGTGAGCAGTGTAGTATTGTCCTCGCTGTGCATTTTGCCAAGTACTTTAGGTGAGCTAATTCTGCTGGAAATCTTGGTTGAACGAATAGGAATTACACGACCGCTGGATTGACCCAAACAACTCGGCCTACAGCCCTATTCAGGCGGTCAATATCGAAATATGTGCAAAACGTGCAAGCCAACGCTTTCGTCTTTCACGCCTTTGATCATAAAATTAACTTCTTGGTGGCTGAGGAATTATGCAGAAACGGCTGTTTAGGTACTCAAAAGTTGGGTCACTCTAAATTCACCGAGGCTCCCAATAGGTCAAGCTTGCTAATTACCTTAACTTAAGGTGGGAGCTTTTAGTGATGGTGGGGCACTTCTTTCTCAATTTTGGGCAACTCATTTCCAGCTTCACAAAAAAAACACTCGCCTCCATATCCTCCACCAATTCATAATTGCTTCGATCTCTTCATAAGGACTAGCCCCCATCCTCTCTATCTACCAGACGCGTTCACAAACCTCATTCCGACAGTACCGCGGCAATGTCTGGCTTCGCCCAAGCTAGTGACCTCCAAGCATGGCAGCAGCTCCAGCAGCATCACACTACACTGGGCCGCAATATTGTCTTGAAAGAATTCTTCGAAAAAGACCCTAGCCGCTTTGAAAAGTTCTCCCGTACCTTCAAGAACACAGCCGACAAATCCGAGATCCTCTTCGACTTCTCCAAGAACTTCATCACCGAAGACACCCTCTCGCTGCTCATCCAATTGGCCAAGGAAGCTGGCGTGGAAAAGCTGCGAGATGAAATGTTTGCCGGAGAGAAGATCAACTTCACGGAGAAGAGAGCCGTGTATCATGTTGCTCTGCGTAACGTGACCAATCAACCTATGCAGGTTGATGGGAAGAGCGTCGTCGAGGATGTCAATGAGGTCTTGGAGCACATGAAGGTATTCTCCGAGCAGGTCAGAAGTGGAGAGTGGAAAGGGTATACTGGAAAGAAGATCAAGACAATCATCAACGTTGGCATTGGTGGATCTGATCTGTGGGTCGAGTCAGTAACGTAGAGGCAGCAAATCAGGCTGACAGAAGCTGTAGTGGACCAGTCATGGTGACAGAAGCTCTGAAGCCCTACGGTGACCGGAATCTCAACTTGCATTTCGTCTCCAATATTGACGGCAGTCACATGGCAGAGGCATTGCGTGCCTCCGACCCAGAAACAACTATGTTCTTGGTTGCTTCCAAGACATTCACCACCGCTGAAACGGTCACCAACGCTACCACTGCTAAGCACTGGTTTCTTGAAACAGCGAAAGATGAATCTCACGTTGCAAAGCACTTCGTTGCCTTGTCCACCAATGTCGAGGAGGTGACCAAATTTGGTATCGACAAGGAGAATATGTTCGGCTTCGAGAGCTGGGTCGGGGGCCGCTACAGCGTATGGAGCGCCATTGGTCTGAGCGTAGCTCTGTACATTGGCTTCGACAACTTCCATGAATTTCTCTCAGGCGCCCATGCAATGGACAAGCATTTCAAGGAGACCCCGCTCGAGGAAAACATCCCTGTGCTCGGTGGCCTTCTCAGCGTTTGGTACTCTGATTTCTTCGGAGCGCAAACACATCTAGTCTCGCCTTTCGATCAATACATGAGCCGCTTCCCAGCCTACCTTCAGCAATTGTCAATGGAGTCGAACGGTAAGGCCATCACAAGGTCCGGCGATTACGTCAAGTACACCACTGGAGCCATCTTGTTTGGCGAGCCCGCAACAAATGCCCAGCACTCATTCTATCAGCTTTTGCACCAAGGGACGAAGCTTATCCCTACGGATTTCATCCTTGCCGCCGAGAGCCATAATCCCATTGAGCACAATAAGCACCAGAAGTAGGCTTCTCAGAATCGCTCGACTTGGTATGTTGAGCTGACATGTCAACAGGATGCTGGCATCGAACTTTTTCGCGCAAGCTGAAGCGTTGATGGTTGGTAAGACACCAGACGAAGTCAAAGGCGAAGGAGCCCCGGAGGAGCTGGTTCCCCACAAGACATTCCTCGGCAACCGACCTACAACATCCATCCTCACCCAAAAAATCACACCAGGGACGCTTGGAGCGCTGATAGCATACTATGAGCATTTCACCTTTACCGAAGGAGCTGTGTGGAACATCAACAGCTTCGACCAATGGGGTGTAGAGCTGGGCAAATCGTTGGCAAAGAAGATCCAGGCGGAGCTTGATCAGAGTGGGGAGAACACGAGCCACGATGCCAGTACGAGTGGGCTGATCAATGCGTTTAAGAAGAAGGCCGGTATCTAAAGGTTGTTGCGTGCGTGCCTGAACAAGAAACCATCAAAGGGAAACGGAAAAACGTGCATAGCTGGCTCACGAACATAAAAAAGTAGATGAGATCTCAATAAAATTGCTATGAATATGATGTTCGGTGACCGTCTGTCCGGCCTCCTCGAATGACCGTATGATTCTTGGGGGGCCTTTGGAGCCGGCTAGGGTCCCTCGGGTCGATCGACCCGCCAAAACATGCACCCCGTAGACCCAGGAACGAACAACAGTTCGGTGCAGTATGAGTGCGCCAATACTTCTTTTCCGCTTCTCCTTGAAATGAGTCGGTAAAAAGTCCAGCTCGCCTTTGGTATGGCGGTCCTTAGCTCTCGCAGCACATGGCTAGTCTGCTCTACCCTTCTGTCCTTTTTCTCTTCTCTTCCGAAGGCTGGCAGCCCAGCCAAAGCTGAACAAAAGGCCAGCTATGCGCCTGGGGATGCAATACCTGTTAGCTGTTTAAACAGGACGGTGTGAGTATTCTATCCTCCGGTTCAAGAGCGGCACGATTTTTCATGGAAGGCAAAGAAACACTGGGACGAATGGCTAACTGTTGTGTCTTGTGCGCAGTGACACTGGAGAACATGTAAGCAAGCAGAGACCGTCGACATTCAAGCCTCGCCTGGCTATGCCTGCTCGGAGTACTATCCAAGCACTGACTTTGTCAGATCACAGATGATCAGGGCCAGCTTCAGTATATTTCTTTCATGACGTGCAATGAGACGGGGCGCCCTCTCGAGCTTTACTTTGGCGTTGAGAAAGGCATGCCAGTGTCTTATTTCGAGTGTGCACATCTTTTGCTGACTATCTCAGACATTAATTGCACCCTCGAGTCCATTGACGATCCCCTCTTCCACCTCCTCGAATTCTACATCCACAATGATGCCCCTTTGACCTGTCGCATTCCCACCCATCCCCTGACCTCCACCCAAATATCTTCACCCTCAACCACTTCTCCCACAACAGACGACTTCATACCTCTCATATTTGCTCTCTCCGGCGCTCTTCAGCTTTCACACCTACACATATCGCCAAAATTGAACGTGCTGCTGCACACGAGCCCTGAATTAGCGACTCAGGATGCAGATTTATTAGCCGCGACGGCATACTCTTCGCCTTCACTGTCCTCCGCATCTACGAGGATAGTGATTGGCGATCCGCTTGCCCTCCAACTTTCAGTGCATTGGTACACTAGTCCAACTCTACCGCCATCAACAACGGGGAAAGCTGGTCTAGGAGGCCATGTACATCTTAGCACGGTGGTGTATTGTCTTTTAAGCGGGGGTGTGGGCGTGGCGGCGAGTTTGGCTTATTTCAGAGGGGTGGAGTTGCCGAGAAGGATCAAAAGGTATGGAAAGGACAGAACAGGAGGGGAGAGGGGTGGTGGCTACGCATTTCCTGGATCTGGAATGAACGGTTATGGGACGGGGAAGAGGGATTGATTGCTGATAGAAAAAGTAGTCCGCCGTTTCGTGGGCTTTTGTGAGTGTATATACCCCTGCCCTTGTTTCTAATCAGAATCTGTGCACCAAAAGATCCAAAGCACATCCCCTCTGTACCTCCATTCATTGGCTCGCTTCAGATACGAGTTTCGGCGGTGCATATTGGAGTGATGAACCCTTCATGTGGCTCATCAGCACTATTCCATATCCTGGCGGCTTGTACAATCCAGGGATAATAGCCGAGTTACTCTGAGATTTACTTGCAAAGTGCCAGAGTATGGTAAATAAAGTGTCGCGAAATGAAGGGCTGAAAAGCTTGCAAATCCAGAAATCGGTCATTTGGAGACCGCTCAGTCTGCGAAAGAATGCTATCATGTTCTAGTGAGCCTTGCACTCCACAGGCCAGGTTTTCTTCGAAGCTATATCTGACATTCTGCCTTCTTGGGAGCAAGGTGACTTTGAAAGAGAAGTGAGTGAGACTATCGTTGAAAGATGGCTCCTTATGCTTCCCACACAGCCTTCCAATTTCAACAACCAACATCCTGCCGAGGGTCCTCGCTGCCTGATATGTGTCAACAACAACTTATGAAAATAGGTCACATAGCTGGCTGTTCATTGGGGGGCTTCAAATCTCATGTTTCTCGTCAAACGCTTCTTTTCTTCTGCACCTCCGCATACAGGGACAGACTTTGCGATCAAGGCAATCACTGCTTTTAGCCGAACAATATACTCCGGTCGGTTCGGTGTCAGCACGCGGATGAAGAAGAAGATCAAGGCTACAGGTCACGTGAGGCCATCAGCAGATGCACGTTTTGGCGACGGAGGCCTGCCCGTGATATCAAGCAAGCATCGATGGTTGCCGATCTTTCTTCTTGTTTGACAACACATCGCAAGAGCTTCATCTCCTTCTTGCGAGCAACAGGCCGCTTCCCCACTCAACCTCAACCTCCTTCTCCATCCAGGCCTCGTCTTTCTGCCAGTCCGGTTCCGCAGACCTCATCTTGTCAAACATCTCGTCTACAACATCTCCTTCACCACCATCACGACGCTTCTTGGCCTGGAACTTCTCCTGCCAAGCACTGTACGCGCTCCATGTTCTAATGTAGTTCATACACTCTTCAAGCGCCATTCGCCTACTCAAGAACATGGTGCCTTCGCCAGTCTTTGGTCCACTCGTTCCGGGTTCGTACTCAACCCGGCGTACATCTTCAAACTCGTTTACCGGCGGTTCGATGTCCCGAAGTTTGTTTTCTACCTTTGATCTGCCCGGTTGTGACCAGTATGGACCGAGCGATCGCTCATCGTTGCTATAAGCATACTCATTCAGGATTTTGGTCGCCTTCGGATAATCTACAAAAACGTGATCTTTGTATCCCCAGAATGCTAGGGCTTTGGCAGTCAGTAATGCCTATTGGAGGAGGTATATCGAGCCTTGAAATAGGTATCGAGAGTAAATACTCCCGGGACATGTTCTCAAGACTCAAGATTTGCTCCAAAAGGGGAAATATGGGCTCCGAAAATACGTACTACCACTCTTTCGTAATATTCTCCCCATCTCAGGAAATAAGACCTTGGTATCGAACCAATGCGCCGCTTGGCCTGCCACAACGAGATCGACGCTTTCGCTTTTGAGGAATTTCAAGCTCTCCGCAGACGAATTCTGAAAGGTGAGATTCGGATAAACTTCGTGCGGCGTCAAAGAAAGCGCTTGCTCGATCATCCCGTCCGATGGGTCAGTCCCAACAACCTTGGAGAATGTTTGGGAGAGGTAGCGAGCAACGACACCATGCCCACAGCCAAGGTCTATACAAGTTTCCCTGGGACTATGATGGTACGCCAAGACGGTATTGTAGACTTGATGATTTCGGAGTCAGCATTACTCTTTCGGGAGGAATGCTGAATCGCGAGATTAAGAGACATGTCTGACGACTCATAAGACTGCGTGATTGGGCGAATTTGCCTCAGAACTATAACGTACGGGATGGTGGGTAAGAAGGACGGTACACGGCATAGGAAGCGTGTGAGAAAGTAGATTTTCTACTGGGAAGTCAGCAGCTAGTAACGATGAGGGGAGTAGAGTTACGAACGCAAATTGCGCCATGTTTACGTGGGAATGCAGTATTTCCGAAAACAGCTGATAACGATGTGATCGTTTCGTGGCCTTTGATACCCGCTTGTAGCCGAGCGCCGCACTTTGGATCTACTGGACTTCTACTCGATAGTATCCAAATCTCGCCGTCCTCGTTGCAGATTTGATCATGGAGGCAGCAGCAGAAAGCTTTCTCTCGTCTAGCTATTTTGCCGTGGCAGGTCGGTCTATTGCCATCAGAGAAGACCGCAGTTTGACCCTCCTGGTGTAGGTGCAAGCCAATCTCCTCATAAATTCGGCTACCAGGGTATATTTCCCTTTCATCTGCTTTCTCCCACTTATACCAACGTTGCATCCCAGTATTGAAGTGGTACCACGCCCGCGATTTACCCGTTCAACCCATTACTCCCTCACGTCCGAGTATAACCGTGTTGTCCACAACGTACTCCACGATCCCGTCGCCTTTAGCCCTGCCATATCCAGTAGAAACCTCGATTAGCATCATCACGCAGCCATCGGTCACTCTCCAAGTACTCCGAGAAGCAAAAGATGCCGGGGTGTCCTCGGTCTGGCTTCAGCCGGGCAGTTTCGACGATGAGGGACTGGAGTATGCTAGGAGGGAATTCAAAGCCGGGGTTGGTGGGGATGGGGGGGTGGGTGGTGAAGGGTGGTGTGTGCTTGTGGACGGGGACCGGCTTTTACAGGCCGTGAGTGAAGAGAAGACGGCGGAAGCTTTAGGGACCAAGTAAAGGAGATGGATTTTACTTGAATATATTTTGAGCCAATCTCCCAATGTCTCAGGGCAAAATGTAGGTCGGGCGCCCTGCCAGAAAAAGCGGAAGTCTGCAGCGGTAAGACTCCTTCGAGTTTGAACAAGATCAGCACTACCGACAAGCGTTATGATCCATGTGAAACTCTGTGTATACTGAGCCTGCGCATCAGGTGTCAAGTTCACTTGGCCATATACCCACAAATGTGTAAACTTACGAGAGGCTAACACCCCAAGACTGTCACCCATTGTGTGACAGCTTGCCTGACTTGTCTACGTTTTCACCGTCTAAAGGCTTGTGAATTGTGACCTCGTATAGGATTACTCAATGGATATCAAAGGGAATGTGAGATCCAATCCCAACCCTTCTATGGAGAGCACACCAAACGCCGGCTCCTATGCAAGTCATCCCACACCAATATCAATCACTCTTACCGCTCCGCGGAGACTCCCCAAAACCCCTTCCCCTTGGCGGAAAGTGTTCTCGCAGCATGAGCTCTTGCTCCGCAGACCATGCCCCAACCCCTGACCCAGCGTTGGCATTCCTGATTGTACTTCGCCTATCCTCGTCCTCGGCGTGGTTGTCATCTCCAACCTCGAACGCATCTTCGCTTAATTCAATCAGATCACCTACACCAGATCTTCCCCCAGGAGTCGGCGGCTGAACGGAATTGGCTGCTTTGGACGCGAGCTTACGCATCCAGCCTTCAATGGCCCCGCCCACGTTCTCAATGCCACCATTACCGCGTGAAGAATCCGAGTTGACAGACTCAAAAGATTTACGAGGAGCCAGATTGGGCAAATGCGCAGCAAACAACTTGTTGAGTCCATCCTGCGCTGGGCCCGGGCTGCGCACGTCCCTACCCATCGTGCCAACCCCACCAGGACCTTGTAGTTGATAATTTAAGTAGGAGCCGGAGGATGATCTCGACTTGGAGTTCTGCCCTCGTGGTGGACCAGATTGATAACTTCCTCGAGGCAGATCAAGTGATGCCGGTGGCGTTTCCACGTCTGAGAATGTCATGGATTTCCGCCTGCTGCGGGGAAAGTATCCAAGTGTTTTATGTGACAAGCGAGCAATTTCGACGGCGTCCGGGAAGCCATCAATCATGACCCATGAGTCATGCTTCCAGGGGGCTTCTTCAGGGTTCGAGAGCGAGATCGAGATTGAGGGAGACGTGGGGATGCTGGATAGAGGTGTCTCCTTTTCCTTCGGGCTATCGTGTAGATCGCCCCAAGGGGATTGAAACGCCGTGGGCGTAGGCATTGTCTCTTCAGTGTAGCCGTCTCCTAGACGTTCCGAAGATTGACCAAGCTCTGGTAATTTTCGTCCCTTTACCCCACAGGCATCGACCGGTAGAACGACCGTCTTCCGGACCTGGATACTGTCGTTGGGCCACAGTCGGTTTGCCTTCCGGAAGACGTTTGGCTGGCAACTATATTTAATCATGACTCCCGCAAGCGTGTCTTCTGGCTTCACTTTGTGTAGATAGACCAAGGCATCCCTACCATCCTGCTCTCCCGGAGGCGCTGAAGTGTGATTCCTCTCATCCGAGTCCCTTCTCTTATAACGACCCGAGACATCTGGTGTAATATGGCCATTGGCCACCAACAACGTCTCACGTTTCCTTGCTTGCACAAGCACCCTTCGCTTCTCTCGAGTTCCTAGACCAACCTGTCTGTCTCCACCAGATGGCCCCCATTGAGCAGGTGGGGCACTGGTATTGCGGCCGTGGGTGGCTTCTATCGGACGTCGCCTACGCTGTGGCGAGCGGCCTGGACTTGACGCTCTAGAGCTATCACGGCCTATGAGATTGGACGCAAACCCTTGTAGAGAGGACCATGAGCTTTCCCAGAGACCTGTAGCGAAAGTCGATGGGTTCGACTGAGATCCTAGAATGCCGGGTGTTCCAAGGAAGCGGCTGGTACTGCGAGATCTCTGGGCGTCTCTGTCTGCTTGTGCTGGCTGGGAGGGATCTATTGGGGATTCCGCTCTCGAGGAGAAGGACGAGGTAGCGGGGCCGTCAAGCCATCTAGAAGTTGTTGCTGGAAGGGGAGGTGTCTCATTGTCTTCATGCGCTTGCCGACGGGTACGAGGACGTAGAGTGGTGGAGATGCTGACTGAAGCCGTAGCTGACGACGGTCTATTGATGTTCATCGCCGCGGGGGCCAGCTTTGGCGTTCAATCAGCATTGACATTTGGCTGTGGAGAACTTACTCCAGCCAAATGGTGATAGAAGGGTGCTTTGACATTGGAGTGGTTGTGTGGAGATCCTCTCTTTATACTTCAATCAAGATCCCTACGAATATATGTAGGGTGTTCAAAACTACAGTTCCTGAATGCCTCGAGAACAACTTACAATGGAGGATCAGCCCTATGTGCCTTGGAAAGCATACTTTCCCGCTAGCAAAATGTGAAACCGTACGTCCAAAAGATAAAACGCGAGTTCAGCCGAGGTCTACTTATACAGCAAAGCAGATTACAGAGTACCAGTTGAGTGGTTCATCCTCTTAGGATTTGGATACCTACCGTATGTATTGAGTCAGGCCGACAGAAAATACCGCTTTGCATTCATGCATCTAAAGATAGCCCTCATTGAGCCAAACGCTTTGATAAAAATCCTAGGATTACATGCCATTCAATCCGCTCAGGTCACCCCCATTCATGCCAAAGAACTGAAACCTGTGAATTTACTTGTTGTCAGTAAATACGCTTCCAACACTATTCCTTTGGAAGAATGACCCACCAGTCTTCCACATTCAAAGCCGTTGGAACAACTGGACCTTGGCCCCGGCTACTGTTGCTCCAGCTGTCCTCTGGGCTGTCGCCTGGGAATTGTCCTTGCCAGGCAGGAGCTTGCTGTTGTATCCCTGGCATTTGGGGCATACCTGCTACGTCTTGCATGTTTCGTGAAGAAGTTTGTTGCTGCTGGCTTTGCATGGATGGTTGCAGCATGCCAGACGACTGCATCTGTGACATTTGAAGCTGAGGATCGAGATTCTGCTGACTCGGGAATGGTGGCATTGCAATGTTGGTGCTTTCGGGGAAGAGCTGGTCCGGCTGGAAGTTCTCCCAAAGATTTTGAGAGATATGAGGCGACTCGCGAGTCACTAGATAAAGATCCGGGGGTGTTGCGGGAATGGAATAGGAAGGGTTGAAGGGGGTTGGCGGACGTGTATTACTGCGAGAACTCCCCATGAATGCATCGTTTGATTGACGAACATTGAGGGAACCCATTGGTGCGGAACTTGGCTGTCCCAAGTCCCTCGATGGTGTCACCGCTGGAGTCTGAGGTCGAGATCGCTCGTAAGATACTTGAGGAGCTGGGGGTCCATTGGCGAATCCCAACTCCATGTCGTCGTACTTACGCTTTTGCTGTTGGTCTTCCTTCTCGGAGGGTGGGCGATTCTCAATCCTTGGCTTCTTGTGTCTCTTGCCTGCTGCCTTTTGCAGCCTGTCTTCGAGCACTTTGTTGCCAAGTATGGATTCAAATAAGGTGTGGACCATTTTAGCTACCAGCCAAACTTTCGATACTTCCTTGAGAGCATTCATGCATATTTGCAGCCGTTCTTGCGTGGCTGCTACGACGGAGGGCACCGACGAGCGCATCTGATAGACGTGCATAATGAGGGCCGAGAACAAGCTGTACACACTGCAAGAGAGCGTGAGTCAAAGCTTTAAGCTGCCAGGCTTTGGGATTGGACTTACACGAAAGCCGGAGTAAATCTTAGTTCATCTGACTCTTGTAAATGTTCGATGATAGAGGTGATCATTCCTGCAGCCTGAAAAGCAATGTTTCTTGAGGGATAAGCAGCGTCAGTAGGATAGCCATTCATCTGTCCGTTGCTTTCTGATGTCGCAGGGGGCATATGCGCCCTGTGTAAGAGGCAAAGCGTCGTACTGGGAACTGTCAGAGTGACTTATCCAGTGATCATAACCGCTCACTGCTTACTAGTAATTTGCGTGGAGTAGTGCCGACCAAAAGTTGTGCCTTGGTTTCTCCCAGTACACTTCTTTTGGGCAATTCTGGAGCCAATCTGCAAGAGCCATGTCGCTGTGAGTAAGATCAATGGCGTTCTGCCGCCGAGCTTTGGACGCTACCGAGTACTGTTGAGATAATACCAAGCCCATGATTTCGGTCAAACGGACATATTGGAGGAAAAATTGGACATGAACTGGATTCGGTGGATACTTTGCCGGCTGGTCTACCTCATCCTCGATGAAGTCGTCTTCAGAAACCATCTCAACGTCAGAATCATCCGTATTGATATGGACTGGACGACCGAGGGCCACGGCTACTGATCTGTCGCGCGTGAATAACGTCCACCATATGCGTTTCCACAGTCTTTTGTCGGGTCTGCTGAGCTGAGACCCCTCAACGCTGCGGGACTGTAAGTATCAAATCAAAGTGCTACTCCGGAACACCCACCTTCGATGCATGCCTGACCCTTGGGCAACAACAGTGGCTACTCTGGTCCAGTAGAAAACGTTTTTTGTCACATCTTCATGACCACTATGTCAGCCAGTTTACCGCATTCGTCCCCAGCGTCATCGTACCTTCAGGACCTTCCCAGTACCATCCCATCAACACCAAGGCTTGTACTATTGTGATTCGATCGTCCTCATAATTGGCGTCGTATAATGCTTTTGCACGCTTGTAGAACGTCATTGCGGCGGGGGTGGTCGACCCATTTGCATCCGTTAATTGAGGATTGGTACACACTCTTGAACCAGCAAGCAACATAGCCTGTAACAAGAGAAGGGAAGGCGGGTTCTTGGTGTCTCGATAGCGGGTCATGAATCGACTCCGATTGATGACAGGCACAACTGGGGCGACCCATTTGAAAAATGATTCAACAAGCTCATCACAGAGAACGCGAGGAGGGAGCAAAAATGCTCCTCGCTGATGCAATATGTTTACTTCAAGTTCGTCCATGTCTGTCAACTGAGATCGCGATCCTTTGACCGTATCTGGCAAAGGGTAATGCACAACATCTGTTGTCCCGTGCCTGTCATGTACAAGCAGAGACAAATTCGAGGACTCTCCCAGATATGCGACCCTTCCAGCTTCTTTGATTGGAGCTCTTGCAAACTTAGGCTTCATGAAATGTGCGAAGTGTAGGTTCTGGGCCCCCTGTTGAACGACTTGAGCGTCGGACAGGGAGGTGACTGGCATGCCATCGTGTGCACTGTAGTCGGAGTCGCGTGGTTTGTCAAAATCGTAGCCAGCAAGATTATCTGGCTTTGGGGATTGCGCCTGAACAGACTCTGCAGGATCACTAGAAAAGGAGCCACGGTCAGCACGCCATTGTCCTCTTCGATGTTAGTGAACCGAGCTGTTCACCAGCGCCCAGCACGAGGGCATGAAACCCGTACCAGCTCTGGCTCCACTTGGGTTCAACCCCTTCTTGGACGTCGCAGTTGAGGGAATCTACCTGTCTGAATCTCTCGATTTGCCAATAGTCTTTTTTCGTTTGGGCGCTGGGATCTTGCACTCGATGGAGAAGGCAACGCAGTTCGTGCCTGTTGGCTAGTCAGTATCCATGGCATGGGAGGCTGGATTTTCGAAGACAGCTTACAAGGAACTCCCAATGAAGCTGCGTCACACCTGACTTTCCGCGCATGGCATGTTTCACAGGCTCGGGATGCTCGCTGCCTCCTGAAGCTGGGATGTGTAGGGATCTGATCGTTCGGTGCCGGCGCACCATTGGGAGCGCCAGGCGCACTCATTCTTTCACTATCCATATCGTTGAACAGCCCTGCATCGCTCCCTCCTCAATTTTGTACTTCCCGATTGCTGTCCTCCTGGCTCAGTCGTGGACGAGTTCGGCAAGCTTGGTGGTGGGTAGGACAACCGTCACTACTAACCTGTCGCTTATGGGATCCTTGTACTCTACCTGATAAGGCCTGGGCTTTGTGAGACAGAAGCTGTAAGAGTCAAAGAGAAACTTCGCCAGCAGAGATTTAACAGGTTATTTATGTGTTGCAGCCGAATTTGCTGGGTACCACTTACCCCATACTCCAATCACTATCCACTAAAGCCCATTCATTGCGGGGGCGATGAACCGTTCTCGCCATTCTAGTTTCTATAGTTTTCCAGCATTGACCACACAGCAAGCAGGAGACATTACAGCAATCATGCATGCTGCGACACGCCAATCACTAGAAGCAGTCTGAATATGAACCTATTTGATATCTGAAGTGCAGGTAACCAGCCACTACGTCCTCCGATGCATGTCTTCATTTGTATTAATTTCGATTGGCTCCTCTACTCCACCTTGGATCATTGGTCATGTGCAGCAGCGCCATATGACTTCCCTCGTCTTTCCATCAAGCTGTACTGCCTGACGACTTTGGCCAAAATCTCACAATTTCGCCTAGAATCAAAGACCTGTGCATGGTCCAAATCGTCAAACCACAAAATATCCAATCCTTTCCCTTTCCACTCCCGATGCTTCCACTCCTCTTTCTTCGGTTTGCCATTGCCATCTTGTGCTAGGTAGCGTCCCACAGCCTCGGTATCGACAATGAGATCCCGCGATGCAAGAGACACGGTCACCTGTCGTCCATCCATGTCATGCTTCCATAAGATATTCTCAGCCCAGAAAAATCGCCTAGATATTATCATTAGAACTTTAATACATGTAACTTATCAACAGGTTCACCTACCTGCCTAAGGTATGAGCAACCCCCATGTCCATGCTGGCGAAATCTTAAAGGCGGTCAGCTAAATGGTGGCAATCTGCGGATTTCAGCTCACAATATAGCTGGTGTTCGTTTGCTCGTATCGGTTTCCGGGCCGTGAAGTTGTAAGCCACGTCCGGGAGGTGCAAAAGGATTGAGACTGGATCGATGAGTAAAACTGGCCCGAACAACTGGGAGGTTTCGGAGTAGTGCAGAAGGTGAGAGGAGATGACACTACCATAGGAGTGGGATGCGAGTATGCATTCGTGCCAACCATGGTGCCGAAGAATCTGCTGAATCTCAAAACACATCTGGTCCTTTTCTAGGGCTGCACCAGTGATGCGGAAGGATACACTCATAATCTCAATCGCAATGATCCCAATATCGCCATCTTCGTCGCGCCCATTAGACGATTTGTTGATTTGACTTAGAAAGTTGACATAAGGATAAAGGCCTATACCGATTCCGTGTATGAACAAAATGGGTAGTCTCGCCTTCGATGTGTGGGGTCGATGCCAGTATGTAAGTGTTTTTGCGGGGGTTTTCTGTTTGCTAAGCAACCCGAATGGACGCAACGGGAACACGTCGAAGGATTGACTGAAAGGAAGACTATGAAAGTGAAAAGAGTTCCAGATAAGGGAAGAAAAGGTGATTGTATCGACAAAGAAGACACACTGAAATCAATCATCAGTACCATCCGTGCGATGTGCCGCTGTGACTTACAAAGTACCAGAGCAGGGACCTGTGTAGGCTCTGAAATCGATCGACGGTCACCCGCAACGAGACTGCGTTTCCCCGCCCTGGCTCCAGTCTTCTTCCCAGACATAGCTCCGTCTCGTCCGCGTATTCCTCCAGCTCGTCGTCATCTTCCGGACCATGATCCTTCTTGTTGAGAAAAGCCCAGCAGAAGAGTTCTGTATCTATGAGTACTGTAAAGACGGCCGGAGGATTTGAGATTCACCTTTCACGTTTTCACGTTTTATCTCTGATGCCGGGGCTCCCCTCATCCAGCCCGAGAGATATTTTTCAGGGTCTTCCACGGTGTCCAGGCAGAGTTTGAAAAGCTCTCGCCGCTGCTCCCGGGGCAATAGCTCTGGATGAGTGGCTGCTCTTTGAAGCACGATAGTTCTGGGTACATAGATCAAGGCGAAGAAGGCTGTTTCCGCAATAGCCCATATCTCAAGCACTAGTGGAACGCGATACGTCGAAGGGCGTAAAAGCAGAACGGCCATGCAGTAGACAGCGCTTAACGGAGCAATGTAGTGAAGGAAAAAGATACAAGCCCGAATGAAGGCATAGCTTGCAGGCGAATTGTTGATCATCGCGTTTACTTGGTCATTCTTGGTGAAGTGACTACAGAGTACATATCTTTGTCAACGACAGGTCAGCGGCCAATATACCCTTGGATAATTTTCATTTGCTTTTCGGGGTGTTGAGCCAGATTTTGAGCAATGGGAAAGGGTTTGTACCTTACTCAGAGACCCTGCATATGTAAGGCTGGGTTTGGTTCCCACTAAGGATCCCCAACGAAGCGAGGCTTGATTGATTTCTCTCCTCTCACGCCCTCGACATCATAGGTAGAGGTCTGTGCAGGACCCTTGTTATCTTATGCGATTGGGGTATACGCTATCACAATCTTTGCGTACCTGGGAGAAGGCGCAAAATGTCTGCGACAGCCACTAAGCCAGCAATCTACTTCGGCAATTTTGTGGTCACAACACAGGTTCATCACAAAGAGCTCCAATCCCTCCAAAGCTCTCTCTGACCTGGCTCCAAGGTCTTTCATCTTACACCGCATTCATTCGCTTTGGTTAACTTGAAGCCTCTGCTCCCTGGCCATGTTCTCGTGTCTCCTAGGCGGGTCACTCCTAGGCTTTCTGACCTCACTCATACCGAGGTGACGGATCTATTCCTTACCGTCCAACGAGTTGGCCGCATGATCCAACGGGTCTACAATGGAACAAGCCTAAACATAGCCATGCAAGATGGCGCCGATGCCGGCCAGAGCGTACCACATGTCCATACACACATCATACCTCGAGTAAAGGCGGACTTAGACGATAGGGGAGGTTCTGATGCGATACACAATATGCTGGAAGGTGACGAAGGTAACGTGGGAAAGCATCTGCGGGAATGGTCTGAGGATAGGCCACGATTCCCTAAAGTCGACGATGATGCCAGGAAGCCAAGGAGTAAGGAGGACATGGCTAAGGAAGCTCAGAGACTTGCGCAAGAGATGGAAAAAGAATGAGGTGACGAGGGTTTTAAGCTGTGATGAAAGATACGTACAGGTGTGGCTCCAGCGTATTGGAAGACCCGCAGGTACGTTCGGAACAGTTCGTTCCCAAGATCGGAGGACATAATCTCGCAAAGCGTTTATTTCACAATCTCACAACTTCTCTCACTCTTCTGTCCCTCCCTATGACAAGCCTCAATTGTCTGCCTTTCCCTTCATCGAAGGCGCCTGCTCTCAACCTTGTCGTAAAGAGCTCGTATGCCGGGTAATCTGTTATGGTCAGTAGCAGCTGGGATTGGCGCAGGATTTAGCATACAGCCGTTCACAAAGTCGACCACTTGCTCGTCTGTCATTCCCGAACCTTTCTTCTCGCGAAGCTTTCTCTCGCTTTGAGACCTCCAATCATAGACGAAAATTGGATCTTCAGCATCAAGATGGATCAATGCATCCAGCTGGTCGGTCAGCTGATCATACCTCCGCAAAGCCTCATTCACAAAGTCTACATCCTCTAATCTGTTCCATCCAAGGCGTCCAACGTAATGTCCTTTCTCTCGTTCTCTTACAGCACCTTCCCAGTCTTGTACCAAGTTGTCTCTTGGCAAAGCTCGGAAGCCTACGCACCAGCCTTCGAAGAGTACCACTTCCGTCTTATGTGTTTTATCTCGATTTACTTCTGGCCACTCCTCTTTGGGAACTCTATCCCCTTGTCCACTATATGCACTCTTGTCATAGCTGGGAATTTTGGTGACTTTACCCTGTTGAAGGTCCGAAAACAAATAAAGAGCCAGAGGAAGATCATGAGTAGATGGTTGCCCGCGATGTTGGATCAGCGGGTTGGAAGGATGAGAAGCAGCAAGCTCAGATTGCTGCTCGTGCGTCAAGTAAAGATCATCGATGGAAAGGACTATTGTCGAATAAGAATGTGGGGGTTGGCGGAGCTTTTCGGCAAGTGTCGAAACCTACAGGAGAACAGGAAAATTAGACATGCAGTGGAAATGGAAATCAGGAACGTGAGATATAACATTGACAACTCAATCAGAGCCAAAGATGCACACAGAGAGCCTAAGGAGCTAAAAGCGTGGTTCCATCAAAAGCCTCGATGAATGGATGAATGAGAGCGATTGATTTTTGGATTCGAAGCATCATCAATATTTACATTGTATGTTGATGGCCAGCTACACTTACCAAAGTAGTCTTCCCTGAACCCTGAGGGCCGTTAACGCCAATGAATATGGGCGATCGAGGAATGTCATCGGTCACAGACGACTTTTCGCTCATGTGATTAAGGATAAAGGGAACACAGTGATCTGACTTGTCATCTACAACCCCGGACATGTTGATGCATTGACTGGTGATAATCTTCCGAGGAGCTTCCGAGTCAGGCAAGGTGCCAAAAAGAAGAGTGGAAGTGGAAGAGATATCTTACATTTCCTTCAGATATAGAACAAACAGTACCAGTATCAGCGAGAGAAGTTGTAAGTCAGATAATGCTCTTGTCGACGACATATGTGTCCGGATAGTTGCCCAAAATTCATGTGAAAATACATACTCGTGCAATCCAGGAATGAGTTCCCACGCTAAAATAGCGCCGGGAAGTCAGCCAATCAAGTTACTCAGTTCTCCGCAAAATCGCACTAAAACATACCTTATTTTATGGAGAGAGAGGCTGCCACTAAGGTATGCTCTCTCATTAAATATTAAGATATCGAGAATATAATAATAATAATAGCTATATTCGTATATAAGTAATTCTATAAGTATTTAGACTACTTAATTAATTAATTAGGGATTCTAAATAACTTTCTAATTAATTATCATCGTTCTAAATTAGATAATAATATTATATTCGCTCTTCGGCAGATCGATACCTCTTAGATATCTCTTATCGAAGTTACTATGCTTAATAATAATGAAATAATCTTTTTAGACTAAGTAAATCGTAACTAAGAGAAGGATATGCTAAAATATTATCTAGAGTATAGTAAGACTATAATAGGATATATCTTGAGTATAAAGGATTTTAAGTGAAAGAATACTAATAAGAGATGCTTTAGAGGAGATATATCTATTCTCTAAACTTATTACTATCTTTTAACTTATAATAAAGCTTTAATTTACCTCGTTAACGGGCTATAACTTATTTATTCCGCTATTAATTTATAATAAAATTCCACTTAGCTTCTAGCTCTTTTCTAACCTTATCTTTAACTACCTTACTTATTCTCTTAATTAAATATTAATATAACTATAAATCGTTCTTTAACGGGTCTTATAACGATTTAATTTAATATAGATTCGATAAGTTAGAGGTTTAATTAATCTTCTTAATATTACGTCTTTTTTATTTTTCTTAATAGAGTTTAGCTACTTTAATATGAGTGGGAGTATTATTCTTAATTATTTATATATTCTTATCGAGGTTTCTAGCTATAATTTTCTCTACGTATTTATATAGACGAGTTAATAGAATATAATCTTTATACTACTCGTCGTTAATTTCGTAGTCTTTAAATACTAAAGAAGATATATGCTTAAAGATCTATTCTACAATACGTGATTTTTTTATATTTTTATTATTTTTCTCTTCGCTATTCTTTTTAAGAAAACGATTATAAAGAGTAATCTGTTAATTCTTATTCTAAAATTTATTAATAATATCTTAATAAAAGATAGCGTTAGAATTTATCTCTATAAGAGTATACTTAAGAGTTTCGAGAATTTCTACGAGATATCTTTTTTTCTTTATTACTTTCTTCTATTCGTAATTCTTTAATATAATTTCAATCTCTAATTTACGTCTTTCGATCGTTATTCGTACTAATTAATAATATTGTAAATTAATATTAAACTTAGTAGAGTATAAGGCTTAATGTATTTACGTAAATTATATTAAAGTATCGACTACTACTATAGTCTCGGCTGATTTTCCCTCTTCTACTAAAATACGTCGTTATTTATAATTATCACTCTAAATTTTATAATAATATTTATTACTAATAATAAAAATAGATTTCTTATCTAACTCTTTAAGAATTTAAATATAAAGATTATCTTATCTATATTCTTCGAAATAATTAAGACGCGGCTTTTTTAGCTTAATTTTTCGCTTAATTCTTTTTACAATATAATCGTCGTCCGTCTAATATATATGTTTAAGAGCGATTCTTGAAAGAAGCGATTGAGAGACTAATAATTGTGATTTATCTTCGTCTTGTTTCCGCTTTTTATAAGCCCCTAGAATATCGATGTTTTCTTGCTGAACAGCCTCTTTACGAGATAATCTAAGGTGCTTTAAAATGGCCTAACGCACTATTTTTAAGAGATCTGATTGGTTTTTTATTCGAGTCGGTTCTCTAAGGCGATTGAGACTCTTTAGGTATACTAGAATATCGTGAAAATCCTTATTTTCGACTTTATTAATTGCTCTCAGCATTAAGGCAAAAGTAGATCTCTTATTTACCCCCGTTCTTCGCTTAATAATATTAAAACTTTCGTAATATAGTAGTTTATAGGTAGTTATAACTACTCTAAGCTCTAGACTAATTTTAATATCGTGTGAAGCTATTGAATATATAATATAGCTAGATTTAGTGGAGTAAATAATAGAATAAATATAGATATTTGCGGGGAGACCCTGCCAAGACGCTAAATTTTAGCGTGGGAACTTATTCCTGGATTGCACGAGTAAGAGTACCTACCTTAAGAAGCTTTTTTTAGTCTTCCGAAAGGTGGGGCCTTAACTCCGTGCCGAGGCATACGAGTAGCAGGTACGGGGCTCTTTGTGTTCTGTCCGCCCTCGTTTCCTTCCTCCATAAAACATAAAACACTGCCTCAATACAGGTAATCACCATGTCAGAACTGAGGTTTGATGGGCAGACAGTCGTCGTGAGTGGCGCCGGAGGCGGATTGGGGAAAGCATACGCTGTATTCTTTGGGGCACGAGGCGCCAATGTTGTCGTCAATGATCTTGGAGGGTCGTTCAAGGGGTGCGTAAAATCCAGAGACTCACCATTCGTGTCGTGATCAGAATGCTTTTATTGTCCCTCAAAACTACCTCATGAATGTCCTTCCCCAGAAGAAGCAATGCTGACTCAGAAGCCTGAACAGGGAGGGACAGTCTTCCAAGGTATATACTCCTTCCTGATGCCTGCGAACCGAGTAGCCGATTTGACTCAAACCCACAGGCAGCAGATATGGTCGTCAACGAGATCCGAGCAGCTGGCGGTAAAGCTGTAGCTAATTATGACAGCGTCGAGAACGGCGAGAAGATCATTGAGACAGCGATCAAAGAGTTTGGCAGGATAGACATTCTCTTGAACAATGCCGGCATTCTACGAGATGTCAGCTTTAAGAATATGTCTGATGACGACTGGGATCTCATCATCAAGGTTCATGTAAAGGGCGCGTACAAAGTAGGTTTCGTCTTCAAATCGTTTCTGATTGACAGCTAAAGCTACTTGTCCCAGTGTGCCAGAGCTGCGTGGCCACATTTCCGGAAGCAGAAGTATGGCCGGGTTATCAACACAGCGTCTGCTGCAGGCCTGTTCGGAAGCTTCGGTCAATGCAACTACTCCGCCGCCAAACTCTCTCAAGTCGGTTTCACCGAGACGCTCGCAAAGGAGGGTTATAAGTACAACATAATATGCAATGTCATAGCACCCATAGCCGCCAGCAGGATGACACAGACTGTGATGCCACCAGATATCTTGGAAAACCTCAAGCCAGATTGGGTCATACCACTCGTTGCTGTGCTTGTGCATCCTTCGAACAAGCACGAGACAGGATCGATCTTCGAGGTGGGAGGAGGACATATTGCAAAATTGCGATGGGAGCGAGCAAAAGGTGCTCTGCTGAAGACTGGCCCAAGCCTTACCCCAGGAGCAATCCTGAGACAGTGGAAGAACGTCAATGATTTCTCGGAGCCAAGCTATCCAAGCGGCGTTGCAGATTTCATGAGTCTGCTCGAAGAAGCGCAAAAGCTTGGAGAAAATGAGCCAGGCGAGCATATCGACTACACAGGAAAGGTCGCGGTCGTGACAGGTGGGGGAGCTGGGTGAGTTGCCCTATTGATTGCTACGTGGTGGTGCTGATGGTCGTAGACTTGGTCGCTCGTACTGCCTCCTTTTCGCGAAATTAGGCGCCTCCGTGGTGGTCAACGACCTTGTCAATCCTGGTGACGTGGTTCAAGAGATTCAAAAGAACGGCGGAAAAGCCGTGGGTAATAAAGCCTCTGCTGAGGACGGAGACGCTGTTGTAAACGCTGCAATGGATGCATACGGACGAATCGACATCCTCGTCAACAATGCCGGGATTTTGAGAGACAAAGCTTTTGCTAACATGGAAGACAAGATGTGGGATCAAGTTATTGCTGTCCACCTTCGAGGGACCTACAAAACCACCAAGGCTGCATGGCCATATTTCTTGAAGCAGAAATATGGACGAATAGTCAATACCACGAGCACAAGTGGCATCTATGGGAATTTCGGTCAAGCTAATTATGCTGCAGCAGTACGTTTCCCATATGAAGATCTCGAACAGATACTAAATTTGCCTAGAAACTTGGTATACTTGGTCTCTCACGTGCGCTTGCACGTGAGGGTGCAAAGTACAATATCAATGTCAATACAATTGCGCCGAACGCCGGTACGAACATGACAAGAAGTATAATGCCTGAAGAGATGGTCCAAGCATTTAAACCTGAACAGGTAGCACCACTTGTTGTCGCGTTGTGTTCCGATCAGGTCCCGAAGCCTCCAACAGGAGGCCTATTCGAAGTAGGCAGCGGCTGGCATGCGCGGACGAGATGGCAAAGAAGCGGCGGGCACGGCTTTCCAGTCGATGTAAAGCTTACTCCTGAGGCCGTAGTGAAGGCGTGGTCGGATATTGTCAACTTCGACGACGGAAGGGCAGATCATCCGGAGGATGGCCAAGACGGATTGAAGAGCATAATCAACAACATGCAAAACAGGAGTAGCGATGTCAACAAAGCAAGAGAGGTGAACACTGACACTCTGGACAAGATCGAGAAAGCGAAAAAATTGCACTCCGAGGGAACCAAATATAAGTATGATGACAAGGATATCATCTTGTATAACCTTGGGATTGGCGCCAAGAGGACCGAACTTCCCTTCGTGTATGAGAACTCGGATTTCTTTCAGGCACTTCCTACTTTCGGTGTGGTTCCCTACTTCGGTGCTGAGATGCCTTGGAGTATGAATGAGGTTCTCCCCAACTTCTCACCCATGATGCTTCTCCACGGCGAACAATACCTTGAGATT